CACGGTCCCTGCCACTAAACCTCAAACGAGCACAGACATCATAACGAAGTTATTATTAGCGACAAGAGTCCTTGCAACGGAAGAAAAATAATAAAATGTCATTTCCTCATCAACGTTTCCAATAGGCAAAACACAAGCACAATTTTCTGCATTCAGCATGTTCAGGGATCTCCAATCTTATATTGCTTGGCAGGTCCTCATATTTACAGCGTCAGTGTTTTATAGTCAAAACATCTGTGTAATTTTTACAATAAAATACTTGTCTTTTTTCATGAGCCCTTAATTAAATTACTATTCAACATTTGCAAACATCCAATACAAAACTACCAAATTATTACGAAATACCTTACTTGACTTTAAAAATTTAAGCAAATTTATAGTCTCAAGCATCCTGTGAAATTATGGCACCTGGTGTGCTGCATTTTTAAAAGATTAAAGAGGAGCTTTTGTTTGAATCAATGATGGTCGGCCAACCCTCGTTGTAAAAAAAAAGACGACTTTTTTTTTCAATAGTGCCCCCAATTTACCAAATTTAGTTAGTCCACATATTGTTTGCAAACGGTTGCAAGCCAGCTAGTCTGGTTCTGGGTTTCCTGACCCGACAATTTTCCCAAAGTTTATAAATTGCCCTGTTTCGTCTGAAGTAGGGTCAGGCAACCAGACAAGAACAGCATTTGTTTTCTTAGTTTTTCCAGCATCTATGAACACAAAACTTTAAACAGGTCAGTGTAACAATATTGCTATAAAATACTAACCCCAAAAATCCATCCACTTCTGAAAATTACAGTAAAAGCAAATGTTGTATAATTATTACATCTATGATGAAATGAAACAATGAAGATACATGTACTTCTAAAAACGGAAACGACACTTATCCAAAAAAAGAAAGTTTAATTGATTGAGCATACGAATACATCTGATTTGCCCCAAATATTGGTAGCCTTATATTTAGTTTGTTTCAGCCAACAGGAAATATTAAATTTACACACAAACACATGATGTTCCAATGCTGGGGATAACTAAACTCTCCTATGTGCGTTTACTTTAACCGTGCTGGCCATGGTTAAAATAGCGGGGTGTTGAGCATGCTTGCAAGTAGCACAACGGCCAATTAACAGAAAAGTTTTAATATACAGGGTGAGTAACAAAAAGCGGAACCCAAACCCCAAAAATTATATTTCATGTTAAAAACTATGTAGTACCAAACATAATCATTACTGTAAAGCCAATTTCATAAACTACTTTTAGATGAAAAAATTACTGAAATTGCTCAATCCGTTCAAAGAATATCACCATTTAAACACAATCACCCTAAAACCTCTTTCATCTAAAAAATGCGATTTCAAGAATTGTCGTCACAATTGTCTTCGAACATCAACAGCAATAAAACCTCAGGTTAAAAGTTGGAAATATTCAACAAAGTCCTTTTGAAGGCCTGTCTTTAAAAAAAAGGGGATTTTATAAATTGTTTGCCAGACTGGATTTTTAATAAAGATGTTGTGTACTACAGTCGTTGACAGTTGTTGAAACAAGGATTCTTTTTCATTTTCTTTGTTGTTCCAAACAGTCAGAACACACAATAAACTTTTTTGGGGGGGGGGATGAAACAGGTTTTACGGTCATTGCGTTTAAATGGTGATATTGTTTGAACAGATTGAGCAATTTCAATATTTTTCATCTAAAAGCACCTTATGAAATTGGCTTTCGAGTCATTATGATGTTTGGTGCTAGGTATTTTTTGAAATATGAATCATTGGGTTCCGCTATTTTGGACTCACCCTGTAATTCAGTTTCTTCCCACTTGGGGTTTACATTTCATTCTTTTGTTAGCTCATTACTTCCCTTTACTGTTCTCCTTGCAATTCCAGCTTACTTCCCTTTTGTTCCCCCCTGGCATCCTTCCAGCTCCAGAGACAAAAAACATCAGCTTTCACACCTCTGTGTTACCCATCACTACCCCTCCAATTTCCACTGCCCATTGTTCCCCCCCCCCCCAGCCGTGCTGTTTAATTTGTTGTTCCATGACCACACCTCTTGCTTGATTGATTGTTACCACACCTGGCTTTCCAAAGTGCTTTCCCATTTGTTTATCTCCAGTAACTGAGTCCAGTTTTCCTGCATTAACCCCAATCCTTCTTGATCTTATACAAAGCAAGGGCCTTAATTGTATGACCACTGAAAGATGAACGCGAGGAATGTACCATGTGTTTTATGCATTGTGGAATATTTTTTAAGGATTCAGAAAATGCCGATTAAAAGTAGTTGATATCAATTTTCATGGGTGATGCAGCCATGATCAGCCAGAATCAACTGTCAGATCATCCTCACATTTGAAAATGTTTCAGCATAGTACAGTGGAACGCCGCTATACCGAACGCTCTACCGAACATTTGGCTCTACCGAACATCATCCTTGGCTCCCGGTTTTAATGTACAAAACGTACCGAACATTGTTGTTGAAAAGAGTCAACAGATTCACACAAAAATTCTAGCGGTTGTATTAAATGCTATGGGCCACTTTTAATTCCCGAACATCAAACTACCCATAGTTACACCGTGTTTGAATGTTGAACAGCGATAGATGGCTATTATTTCCCCAAGGAATAAAAGGGAAAACCACCCGTTGCCAAAGTTTCGTGACGACTCCTCATGCGGCCGCGGGATGTGGGAATGCCAGTTCACAAAACTAAAAAGGGGACCGGCGGTTCAAAATCTCTTACCGAACGATCGTTATTACGAACACTTTCTGTGGATCCCACGATGTTGAATGTTCTTTATAGCGGCGTTCCACTGTACAAGTTAAATGTGAGTATAAAGTACAGAGTTGTATTTGCATTAATTTTTTTATCATAAATTGTACTTTTTTTAATATCATTCAATATGCATATTGTGTTCACAAAGATCCCAAATGTCACTTGAACCACTTCAAAATACATTTACAGCGCATTTATTTGTATTGACACAGTGTTCAAAATGACATTGATACCTCAATTTCTACAATCATGGGAAATCAGAGGGAAGATAATTATTCATCCAATCAACTGGCACATGATTCAAAATATATTAAACAGCTGTTGGCTATGTACCTACATGTATACAACGATAATTTGTACGCTGCCCATATTGCATCCATGCTCTTGTCTGTTGTAAATTAGAAGAAACATACAGTATGTATGCTGCACACTATTTTCACTAGTTTAATACACCTGAATTCATACATGCCCATGAATGCTAAAAATAAGAGGGTTGCACGATTAACAATTAGATTTACCTTATCACAGTGACCTTGGACAGACAAGCTGTCTCGGGTAGTTTCTGACCACTGGGTTTGAGGCAGTCGCATTGGCATAAATTGTTAAAATCAGGATATTATTGGGATTTTTTTTTCATCTCCATATTGATTTTATCTTGGTGACTTCTTGTTTAAAGGTTTGTAAATTGCCTTCTTTATACCTTTTTTAATGCATTCCTTAAAATGCACCTCTGCGCTCTTTTCAGCTGTTTTGTTTATGTTTAAAGCCTTTTGGGGTTTTTTTACTGCAAATTGTATTTCCACATTACGTAATTTTGTAGTCCATTTTCTGGTTCAAATGGGTTTTGGGATTTTTTAATTTGTGTTTACATGCTTGACTTAGTACTGGTCAGTTATCAAACATCCATGCAACAAATTTCTCTTAGAAACATATTTAGTGAAAGCTTCTATGCCTCATAAATTTGTGAACACTGTTTGATATCCTTTTTGGTTAATTTTATTGGAAAGTACACTTCTTTAGACATTTAAAATTGTCCATGCTTTTCCAGGCAACTGTGGGTGCTGTTGCTGTGATGCCATTTCAGGAAGACACCGTTCAGTTTATGTGTTTTCTGTTAAATTGTGAATCCAAAGATTTGCTCATTGAAAACATTTGTCAACGTCATATCTGTTACTAATTAAAGCTGCAGTCCATCATTTTGCAGTTATCAAAAAAGTGACTGACGTAATTATTGTTGAAAAACATACTTGGTTGAAAGATAGCACTCCAGGTGAAATTATTCTTTCTGGCATATGCTGTCATTTTGAAGAATTCAACGAAAGAAGGCTTTTCCAACAGTGCGTCTCCAGGGATCCTGGTGAACGCAATTCTGGTGAATTTCACATTTTTGTTTGACATTTGAGGCAATTCAACCCACCCTAGAGGTAGCCTACCTATCCACATCAAGATAATAATGGTGAAATATTGAGGCCGAACATTTCGTGACAGGAGAGTTCGGAGGTTTGAAAAAATTGAGAATTTTCTGCTACAGCAACTTCAATTGGTCTTTCTGTAAGGTTTAAAAACCTCACCGTTCTGGAAGTACCACCCTTCTTTAGATTTTGAGATTGCTTCAAACGAACAAAATGCACAGATACAAATGATGGACTTTACCTTTAGCTACCTAACTAGTTAACAGAGAGACATGATGATTTGTATATCCCGCAGCCAAAAATATAATCATCAGTAAACCATAAAATTTTGGAAAAAAATTTAAAATATAAAATGAACAGCCCCTCTTCCTCTTTTTTTCAAAAACCTGGACGAGAAACATGGTTTTTTTTATTCGGCCTAAAGGATTTTGATGAACATGATGAATGGGAGTCTGGGACCTTATTTTCATTTGACCTTTTTCTAGTTTTCTAGCTCTTTTTACCCATTGTTCTTTAATTTGTTGTTAGTTTTCTATGAATTTTATTGCGATTCTTAATTTGGTTACATCACTTGTCAACAAACCAAACCAAACCAAGCAACCCAACAGCGCCCTCATTCAATGATTTTCAAGCAACCAAAACAAACTTCAACAGTGTTCAAGTTGTACGGTGGTTTGCACGGTTCGCTTAGCTGAGCCGTATTGTATAATGCTGCCAGGCAAGAGCTTGTTGTGATCAACGCTTTTATACAAATGAGTAATTTTCAATAAAAAAAAATACAGTAAAAGCAATTTTTAGGATCAATATGCCACTTTTTGAAAGGGTTTTATACTCACCAATTTCTCAACTTCCAACGATCCAACTTTTAATAATAGTCTGAAACCCAAATCGCTGTGCATATGAAATATATTATTGCAGTTCAGAAACACGACCAATTTTCAATGGTAACCAGAAAACATCGTGCTTTCAAAACGAAATCGATATCGCGTACCAGCTGTTGTAGTAGTAGTAGGAAGCCCTGACCACATAGAGTGGAATTTATATCGATAAATTAAGGCTACCAGACTAGTAATTGTTATGTATATTATTCACAGCGATAGCCAATCACGACGATAAGATTATGACGTCATCTATTTATGCCCGCCTCTTTTCATTCATGAATGCATTCATCGAGCTGAAACGTAGTAACAACGTAGTGTGTGCGACATGCAAACGTTGTTTTGTGTACGTTCGTACTCGCGATCGAATCATCGCGAATCACGCGCTACTTCAGATGCAGATGCGACGTGGACAAGTGAACAGGTAGAAACTTACTGTCTGATATTTCTCGCTTCGAGTGACCTGTTTAGTTCGTTGGCATTTTGAGAAGTGTTTAGAAATTGTTTATTTCCTTGCTTAAAGCTAGGAAGTTCGTTTTTAGGAAAGAAATCGGACAGACACATTTAGAATTCCGATTTTCTTATCGCGGTTTATGATGCTTGAAGCAGCTGACCGGAGTTTCGAAATGACGCACGAAATTGCGCAACAAGAAGAAGTGAAACAGTTCATCTGCTCCGGGAATCGGCGAGAAGAATACATCACCACGGCCACCACGATCAAGAAGACCATCAGCATGACAAGCCCCGCAACCGAAGAGAAACTACTCGGAGTCACCGCTTCGCCAACGGTTCCCCTAGCCGCCACGGCCTGCATTGCCGGCAACCACGGACTCCGCGAGACTCGGCCGGCGCGGAGGAGGCGACACCGCCGGGGGAGGACCCTCCACAGACACCGGCTGTCAAAGCACAGACGAGACCAGCGTGCACGGTGTTTGAAGCGAGTCATAGGAGCACCCCGGAACAACAACGAATTCCTGATGAGCCAGTACGACGAAGGGTTGATCCTTCAAGAAGCGCCCATTTCCAATCCCAAGCCAGTCCATCAGTTTGACTCTGAGAATGAGCGGTTGTTCTACACTTGCCTCACGTCAGCCTTAGTCACGGGAGGGACAGACGGCAACTTGACCTGCTCGTTTCTAACCCCAACAAGAGCTTCGCCAAGTAGCTGTGGATCGAGCCCATCCGACTACAGCAGTTTACCCAGCTCCCCGGATGAGGACAGTGGTTGCCATGGTTACAAAGACATTTTCTTTGCATCCTGCGGTTGCGAACAGCCAGAGAGAACCGACGAAGAAGAGACCGGGTGTGCGGGGGTTATCATGGATGGAACGGATGCAGATTTCCTGCGGAGAAACTTTGAAGAGGAGTATGCCAACAACATCACAAGGGGACTGGAAGAGGCATCGAAGGAGGAGCTCGTCTCAAAATGCATGGTGCTGATGGAGAGACTAAGACATCTAGAGCACGGCGAAGTTACGAGAATTGCCAGGGATCATGTTCGGAGAAGTGAGCTCTTGCCGTGTTAAACTACACTCGCTTAAACGAGCTGCACTTCCGGCAAGATAACAAAACGAACAATGCCCCTCGCGGTAGTGGGCAAAACTGAGACAGTTATGAATATTTTGTGCAAGTATGTTCACCAATGGCAATAAACATTCATTATCACCCTTTTAACATGTTTTAAGTAGTAACAAGTTTTAAAGTGCCACGCAGGAAGTGGCTTAGAATTCCAATAAACAGCTTCTGTAGGATCTTGTGCATAAATTTTACTAAAGTAAACAAAAGCCTCAAAATCATTGGCAAGTAATTGCATGTACATGGCCATGAACTGTACATAACAATCTTTGAAGAATTTTGTTAATGCGTGAAATTGGAGGGGGGAATTCAGTGAAGTTTCAATTGGGATTGACATGTGTTTTTGAAGAATCATTTCTGAAAATACAAAGTGTATTTTGTGTTTGTTTTTCAATGAAGTATTTGGGACAAAATTGATTAAAGACAATCAGAAGTGGCCACGTGCACACAAATTTAAAGTGAGATCTGTGTTCAATTTCATGGAGTCCCTAAGCAGAGATCTCAGTATTGCTCTGCCAAAATAGGCTAAGGATTGGTGAAGTGAACATTTTTAGATCATCAGATCTCGTGATCTCCATGAAATTGGATTCAGATGATAACAAATTCAGATCTAATCTTACTTTAGGATCTATAACTTAAATACTGTGATTGTTGTGCATGACCATTAAACTTTCTGTCTGTAAAAACTGTGATCAATTTATTCTCACAATTTTGAGAATTTTTCCTTACAGAGAGAGCTGTGGAGGCATCTTGCCACTTGAGCCGGAGCAAGGGGTGTGGTAGCCATGGCAACTAGAGCATCTCCCATCAGCCATGCCTGGGACTGCTCATTCGCCCTTTGACCTCTCCGGGTCACAAGGTCAGCTGGATGAGGCAGAGTTCTAGGTAAACAAACTGGTTGACAAATTGATGTTTCAATATTCACCTACAGTCTTTTTTGTGATTTGGTTATTTCAGTGTTTTTAACATAGAGTAAACTATAACAAAAAAAAACAGCTTTAATTTGTGTGCCTTCTCTTCATGTATCTTTGTTAAATTCATTTCTCTTTTTGACTTCCAGAAGGAGATGATCGTAATTATTTTTGGTGTGAAAAATGTTGCAGTCTTAATACATGTACATCCAAATAAAAATCTGTCACTTAAACCTCATTTTAAGTGCTCTGTTTTATTGTAACATTTTCATCTTATGTAGCTTCTAGACAAGTAAATATCATTCCGAGAATAAAATATGTGATCTACGATTCAGATCAAAGGGATAATTCAATTAGTTATATCATTGTTTGAATTTCATTGTACATTTATCTGACTTTGTTGAATGACAACGGTTGCAATAGTGACAAAGCCATCGTTTTCATTGCCATTCCTTCAACAGCTTTTTAATTTGGCCTACTTTCCCCTACTCTGTATTTTTGCATCCACTTCATCACATAATCTCACCCATGAATTCCTCAACCCAACATGTTCAAAATTGAAAACAAAAAGTTCAAAAAGGTTCTCCGAGTCGTGCAAACGGTGGTTTTCCTTTATGTTCAATGAGAAACTTGGTACAATGTATTATCAATGTGAATGTTTGTTTTTCACAGGATGGGACACCAACGTGCCGTGGACCAGTTGCTCCCATCCCCTCGTGTGGTCGTAACACCTTGGACATGTTGGTAACCTCAAACCCAACTTCTCAGTATTACACTAACATTTCACATAATTTTCCCCCGTGTCATTCGATGAGTTCATAGCTGGCATATTTCATTCCAAATTTGGTGAACACAAGAGCAGTACAGATTATATCGTGATCAAAATATCAAAATAAAATTCATTGATACAGTTTAACAAGAACTGCATGAACTTATGCCTTTCCAAACAGGAAAATGAAAGGAAAAGATAAAATATTACTAAAGGATCCATTAGTAATTTGGCATCTACTGACTAGGTTTCCAACTTAGTTAAAAGTAAAATGTAATCAAAATTCCCCAACTGAAAGTAGAGAAACTTGAGCCTTTCCTTAAGTTTGCTATACATGCACATAATGCTGCAAAATATATGTGGTTGTCTTTAATTGGGTTCAAACATTCTTAACTTGGGTTTGTTAAAAACAAAGTTGACCACAAACTTTGCAAAATGTTCTGTCATCAGAAACCTGGTTCCACCCAAGTTTGACCTCCAACTTCAAACTTCCCAGCCCCCCCCCCCTTTGAATAAAAATTAACACTCAATCATCTTGTGCATGTATTCTTCAATACTTTGATAGAAACTTGATATGTGTATTGAATTATAAAATATATTTTGTTGATGGGAACTATTTTCTTTTGGCAACAGTTCAGCCTATACATGTACGAACTATTTTGAGGCGTGCCTGTTCCACCTTTTGTTGTCATTTGAAAGACCTCTGGGTTTCGTCATATTTGCAGCTGAACCAAAAGCTACTGGACCATAAAATTTGTTAACCAAAACGTGACGTCAGTAGTAAGTGTGTGGGCGACGCCAAAATATGGGTATTAATGGAAGTGTGAAGTTGGGCCGTCCTTGACCGCAAAATGAGGTCATTTTAAGGCGGGGTGATAATCAAAAGCTACAACCTCGATTGTTTGCTCCTTTTTACTAACGAGCATTGGTGAAAAGAGTAACTTTTAATAGTTCAAGTTCCCAAGCACATGTACATGTGGAGATTCATTTTGCAATAAAACATTCAGTTTTGGTTTTCATTGACATGATCTGTACACTGGTTTCTGTGTTTTGTTTGTGTCCGTTTTCTTTCAGTTTACAAAAACTCCAATTATGGGCCTTATTTACATGTACATTGTAGTACATATCATTAATTATGAGCTATACATGAAATTAACATCCTACATGTACATTCAACCATTAACTAAGTGATTACATGTACATAGTGCGGTTACTCAAAGGAATGAAAAGCTGAAAATACTGTTCAGTGAACTTGGTTAGCATGAGGTGAACTATGAATGTGATGTACATGTACAAGGACACTTCGGTCTTTGCAGTTACAGGGTATTCAAATCAAAAAGTCAAGGGGCACCACTACACAAACCTGTCCACTTCTTATACTGGGAACACTCAAAAACTGGACATTTTTATACGAAATGGTGAAATTGGTAAGTTTTTTTAACTGCTTTTTATTTGGATGGGGAAAAGGCAGCATGATTATCAATTTTCAGAGAAAAGTAGGTCCCAAATCCTGACTCCCCAAAAGTTTTGCACTAACAGGCTTTAATTACAGTGGGGGACAAAAAAACAATTAAATATACTGAAATAAATGAATAGTTTGGCCTCTGCTATGTTGTTCATTATCATATAAGTGTTATTCACATTTCCCCTTGCCATACCAAATCCCCTTGCCATACCAAAAAGATTTACATGGACAGAACAGGTGGCACTTGTTAATATGTGTTTTACAACAAAATTCTGGTTATAGTGAAAATCATCTATGGCATCATCCCAACTATTGTTGGGAGTTTGGACAATCCACTACAGTTAGGATTGTCCCAACTATAGTTAAGAATTCCCCAACTATTGTTGGGACTGATCCAGCAAAGTATAATGTATAAGGACATTTCTGGGTCAATGACTTAACGAGATACATGTAAAAACATCGCAATTATCATTTCCTGATCTCACTTTCTCCGCTTTCAGGAAGTAAAACAAACCCAAGCACGACACAAAACCACAAAACATGACACTCCAGTTTTTTTCAACACCCACATGTTGCATCATACAATAATGCATCTGTGCAGAAATTGATCAACCATCCAACGTCATTGTTTCCACGGTAACACTGCAGGTTTTGTTGTGGAGTTTTTTGACAATAGGGTGTAAAAAGCCCGAGAGTACTCGGATGTGACGTCGAAGGACAAACAGAACTAATCAATGTATTGATTACCCGTTGTGTGATTAGGTACCAGCTGGGCGGAAACAACTCCATATGTCACATATTGAACTACCTGTACACCGTACATTTATAATATAAAAGCTTTACAAATTTATTTCAATTGAACAAGGCCACTTTTTTTGATGAATGGCAAAATTTTTCAATGAATTTCCCCCAAGGTAAACCACAATCCAATTCTCAAAGTACTTGATTCTCCATTAAATGCAGCTGGCAAATAATCCACCACGTTACCATTTTTAGAAAATTTAGAAGAAAGTGTTAAGAAAAAAATGTTTGTGAAAAATATTAATCACACTATACTTTTTCCTGTACAATGTGCATGTATTTCTTTGTATAATTTACACATTTCTGCATATATATTTACAAGTTTCACATGTCATTAATTGTTCATTCTTTTTTATAACAATGTTCATGTACATTCAAATAAGCAACACACTTTCAATTTACAGCTCCAAAGGTATTCATAAAATACATGTTCAGTTACAAAATTTAACATCAGGATTGCCAGTCATGGAAAAATCCTGGAAAATTATACAATGTACATGTGTCATGAAAAGTTGGGGAAATGTCACGGAATCCTGCACAACGTGATGATGCGTATTTTTTGGCTATGGCAGTCCAGTTTGCATTACAGTTTACATGTACAGTCGAATCTCTTTAGTACAAACTCTGTTAATACAAAATTCTGGTTATCACAAACATAAAGCCTTGGTCCCGACTGTGCATTTATGTGCACAATGAATGGGACTGATCACTGATGTTCCTCTTAATACAAAATTCTGATATAACAAACAATTTGGCTAGGTCTGAACGAGTTTGTATTAACGAGACTCAACTGTACTTCCTCTTTATGCATACCACTCTATACAATGCGTCCCAAAATACTCGCAACTTTTTTGGGGGGAGGCTCTAGTGTCGGCGCGGAAACACATACCGCCATTCTTTTATACCATTTTAAAGCTTGAAATCTGAACTTAATATCCCTGTCCTTGAAAAGTCACGGAAAAGTCATTCAATTTCATTGTAAGTTTTCTGTGATAACACTGTAAAATTTACTCGAGTGACATGCATCTATGGGCTATGTGTGCCAACAAAAGAGGGTGCATTTTTTTTACTACTTTTGAGAGCCCCGTAGACGGGACATTGCGCGTGGGTACTGTACTGCTTCGCGCTCAAAGTAGTACGCACGACTTATTTATCCTGAATGTGCACACAACTAAGCCATAACGTCTTTGCGAGTGAGCATCTGGCGGCGTCGGCACTCAAATGCGTTCGAATTTCTGGTCTCCCAGACTTGTCCCGCTCCCATAACTATGGATACATTCGAAGTCCGCAATGGATGGACCGGGAACCAGTCTAGGTCTCCCCCAACTCTCCTTTTCTGGCCGTTGAAGGGGTACTTGTGCACGGAGCTCATAGATGAGACATCAACGTTTTGGAACGAAAATGCTCCCCATCCCCCGTGGTGCCAGATTCCATTCTTTGTGGAATTGCATGCAAAGGTTTGTAAACCACGCATTGACTAGAAGCTTTCACAACAACCACTGAGCATCAGTTTTCCCACAGGGTCTCTCTTGGTGTTTGTTCTGGGGGTAGGGGCCCTGTGTGTGACGGCTACCTGAGGAATGTGGCCCCTAGGGTGGTGCTGGCATCCCACTCCTCACCGCATCTCTGCAGGGATTCGTTCATGATGCTGACGCATTCTTGGAAGCTTTCCAATGCGGCTTGACTGACCGACACTGTAGGTAATTCAACGAAGAAGAGTTGTGTATGAAGCTGAAGAAAAGCAGTTAGGAATGTCTTGTCATGTATCATACCAAGTTGGGGACACTTGGCAATGTTTTCTTCAAAAGTGACTTATGAAACATTTACAAGTTACTGCCCTGCACCACCATAAATTGATAAGCACTGTATGCATGTACACAGTGCTGTCTGAAGTCCGAGTATCCGTTGTACAGCTGAGACCAATGTCTGATATATCCCAGCATGCAAATTTTATGCCAACCCGCGCGCCAGCCAATCGGAGTCGACTTTAGAAATTGTGACGTCATTTTGAGCTCAAATTTGGCCTAAGCTGTTCATTGGTTGATTGGCTGCCATGATTTTGTAATACAACAACGGATTACTGAAGACCCAACAGAAGGCCCGCTGAATAGTCAGAATCTGGAGGTCAAGACGCATTCTTGTTTTCGCCAAATCTGTGTGCTATCATAGACGCTTGCGCTTTGCAAGCGTCTAGCTGTCTGAGGGCTTGTGAGAAACATTGACAACCCTTTGTGGAACTCACACCTATGGATCACTAGTGCAGACAATAAGTTCTTGAGCCTGTAGTCTTGTAGATTTTTACTTGAAATTGAGGCCCTTACATAAGCCCTTGTATAGTCTATGTCATAGACCCTGGCCCTAGCAAAGCCGTCCATAGGCTATGATACCTGAACAGATTCGGCGATTAATTATGCAACTAGACTGCGTATGACCTCGAGAAACATCACGCCCACGATGAGTAGCATTTTTGTACAGGTTGTATAACAAAAACGCGGCATCAAAATTGACCAATTACAATCTTAGTCCCTATTTCAGAATGAAATGACGTCACGCATGCTTAGATATATCAGACGTTCTACCAGAGATAGGCTGCGTGGAGAAAGGGTGATACTCAGACTAAAGCCCTTCATGCAACAAACACAAATGAATTTCAAACTTGACTATTTCACAATTCACAATTCTATTGTCAAACAGAAGGCGGCGCTTCCATAATCGTCATCTCGTGTGTGTTCCAAAGCATCTCTGCACTTTCTTTGAACAGACATGGATGGTACTTACCCAGCTTATCCACTCTTTTGGTCTCCGTTGCATTCTTGCTGTGTTGCCCACTGCTGCAGACACCAATGTAGGATGTCTGGATGCCTTTCAAGCCATCAAGGAGCTGATGAGAAAAATAAACATTTTATTTTAATTCTTTGAGATTACTCAGAAAGGTACCACTGTGCTGGTGTAGACATGCAGACAACATTACAAAAGCAGCGTGCCATAAATTTGTAAATTATAGTGATGATATCATATCGAGAGTCTGGTCGTGACAAAAAAAATACAAACAAAAACATTCTACTTGCCTATTAAAGTTTGTCACTTTAATTGTCTAGTTTTGAAGTTTGTTTTGACAATTAATATGTAACTTATGGGTATTTATTTGAAAAGCTATGAAAAAACTTATTCGCCTTCACGGTTTGCTAACTCCTTTCTGTTACAGAGTATCCTACTGACTATAAGCAGTACCACCAAATAGGAGGCCACTTTTCAAATTGACTTTTGATATCCTTCATAATACTATCCTGCGATTAAATAATCCATTCTTAACTGTCACTGTTTGATACCACACAAACAAAATATGCATTTGGAAGCCCAGTTAAGAAACTAATCGATATTCACACAAAAATTCAACTCAAATTCAGAAATGGACCTTGCTCAAAAGTGAAGATAGGGGTGGTACCATACCAAATACCCTGAGAAATTACTCCGCCTGAAATGGTATCATTTGGATGAAAATAATCACAGAAGGGTGTTTTAAAAGGTAAGTCCGCAGGCACATGTTTTTTTTACGTGCATTAGCAATGGAATCCAGTTACCAAAAGCGTACATACGTTTTCTGTTTTCTCAAATTGTATAGTATCCACTGAGCTGAAACTTAACAGCTTAGTTGTTATGCACCATTCTTAAGTTTTTTTAGCAATTTTGGTGCCTCAGACGAAAAACAAATGTACAAATAGCAAATGATCTTATGTTCCTTCTAGCAGCGCCATTGTTATTCCGCTTACCACTGAGAATTGTTGCAGCAGGGAGTGCACCCTCTTGACCGCAGGGCCCAGGTCAGTCAGCTGCGGTGGGGTCTTGTTACACCACTGCCTCATCTCACTCTCAAAGCAATAAGAGAAGCTGGTCACCAGCTGAGCCAGCTCTGACAGTACCAGCTTCAGGGTCTGGGTCACTTTAGCGACGGCCTTCTGGTCACTACGTGGGTAGTCATACTACAGTTGGAAACAGTGCAAAATAGAGGTTTGGTTGGGCGCGATCGGTGGATCTACGCTATCACTCGATTGCGCAGAGGTGCACTTGCGCGATTGGTCGAATCCTGTAGCAAATCTCCGACTTTACTTCTCTTTTTCAAAACAATCCTCCAGAGCCGTGAATTAGAAAGAAAAGGGGTCGACCGCTGGCGGCGCGACCAACCGATGGCAACATGATCGAACGATAGCGCAGCGCGATCAACCAATCTCGAAGATTCACCAATTGCGTCTAACTTTTTCACGTTTACTGTCCATGCTGTTCAAATATCCCGCCCAGGCCTTTGACTTATTATAAGGCAGATTGACACAAATGTGACATTGTCGTGCGCTTTTACAAATACGCACAAATGAATGAGAGATAAGATGCATGTCTTAGTCACGTAAATATGTGAACATGCTCATTTAATTGTACATACTTGGAAAGACGTGCGACAAAGTCACGTATGTCCGGGGGGGGGGGTCAACCGCACATCCGCGCCGAAATGTAGACGTGTTTGACATGTTTTTTCTCCAGACACTTGCCTCCGTAAAATAAAAAAGCGGTGGGGGGGGCGCGCTCTTCAAAACTGACCATTATTATGCATACTACATATTATATGGACATTTTCACGCAAATTGTAATGGTTGTTGAGCGCGTTTTCTTTTGAGGGATTGATGTCAGAAGAAGTCTATAAACATTTATTTAAATTTTTACTGACAAAAAAAAAATTGTCACAAAAATCCGCCAGGATACGCCACTGCTTTTCATGTTAAGTTGCATCGTTCTTCCTAGCAACAAGGTTTTTTGAGTGCAATGTCTAGCTACAATATTTTTAGTCGCATAGCAGAAAAGTATTTAACCCGAATCAGGCTGATGTTCCAGAGTCAACCTGAACCAAAATCATTCCATTCGAATCATGAACATGAATGTTTGGCACTTGAAACAGGAGCGACTACTAGTGCAATCCTTCACAACTTCTCCAGGGGCTAGTCAGTGAGAAATACATGCACAAAGTTCTTGTCAATCCAAGGAGCTCATACTTCTATTTGACTTGGTGCAACTCGGAACATCAGTCTGATATGTGTGTAAATGAAGCCTGAAAATCCTATTTGGGCAGGTACCTGTTTCTGAAGTGCTCCCAGCTGGGCTTCAGAAGCCGCCAGATCCTTGTCCAGTTTACTGATCACCTCGTCCAGTTTGCTTCTCTCAGGTGGCTGCGGCCTAGAAGAAAATTGGTTTAAGTTATTCTTTCTGGCATGCTGTCATTTTGAAGAAATCAACGAAAGAAGGCCTTTCCAACGGTGCGTCTTAAGAAGCACCGTAGGAAATCCAAATTAGTAGTTCGTTTTGTTATTCAGCGAAGCACGCGCAAGCATTGGCACGACGCACACTGTTGCTATAATTCGTCTGCTCAATGCGCAACATCACGTAGCTGCAATCGGCTCAGTGAGAACGTGTCTCGGACGCTGGATTCAGGCCCAATTCAAAACATGATTGAACAACTTTTGAAATCGAGATCCTACAATGTTGTTTTTCTCGAAATATACAGCTGAAGCTGAGCTGAAACTTTATCAGATTGGTTGTTTAGCATTCTTCTTCAGATATTGAGCACTGTTGTTGCTTCAAACGAATAAAATGCACAAATTACAAATGATGGACTATACCTTTAATATTTCTTGAGGTAGGTGTGGAGGGGGGTTCAAACCTCCCAATGAAGCCAAAAGGTAATAAGGTAAAAGGAAAAGACTAAGCCTTGCCACGCCTTCTTTTACCTGTGTCCCTCCAAGCCCTGTTCCTTGAGGTTGTTTTCTATCAGTCGCAGCAGGTCCGGTGGTAGCAGATGGAGCTTGGTTGAGAAGGTGTCTTTGAGATCTCGCTGAGCAGCCAAGGTGTTGATGTACTGACAGTCGTGGTCAAACTGCTCATCCAGGGTCATGCTCTCACTGAATTCCAGATACAAAGACAAAACCAAAACAAGTTCAAGGACTACTTAGGGCTGACAACTGTTTACCCGACATCCGACTTGAAGTGCCTGGTACTCAGTTCCCAAAACATCCATTGCAGATGTAAACGCAATCTTGAAGGTAATAAACAACATTTGCTTTTGCTGTAATTTTCAGAAATGGATAGATTTGGGGGTTGGCATTTTATAGTAAAAATTGTTACACTGACCTGTTTAGAGTTTTGTGTTCGTAGATGCTGGAAAAACCAAGAAAAAAATGCTGTTCTAGTAGGCTGGTTCCCTGACCCTACTTTAGACGAAACAGAGCAATTTATCAAAGTCAGGGAATTGTCAGGGGAACCAGACTAACTAAATTTGGGAAATTGGGGGCAGCATTTGAAAAAAGTCAGTTTTGAAATTGATACAAAAATTCTACTTTTCTTGCAAATGACAGCACACCAGGTGCCATGATTTCACAGCATGTTTGAGACAATTGTTTAAGTAAGGTATTTCATAATAATTTGGTAGTTTTGTGTTTTGATGTTTGCAAATGTTGTACATTACCTTTAATGAAAGGGGACCCACTGTTTTGAAAAGTTGCCCAAAAAAAATCATGAAAAAGTAGGGCCCAGTTCTGCTGGTACCACACCGCTATGGCAACAGGTACCCAATTCAAAAATCACCCATAGAAGGCAGCACACCCTCAGAGCCGCTGTTGACTGGAAAATTAGCACTCCATCACACAGATTGGAAAATTGAGAGATCCCCCTTGTTGAAAATAAAAGGTGCACTGGGCCACTCAGTAAAATAGTGTGTCCCATGCAAAGTCAATCATTTAAACTTTTGCCACCGTTATAAAAAAAGCCTCCCCCGCCCCGCCCTGTCTTAGTACCTGACGATGCCTGGACTGGCCAAGCCTCTCTTTTGTGGGTTGTCTGCAGCGTCGGCTATGCAGAGGATATCCAACAGCTGATCCCAGAATGCACTCTGCTTGCTAGAGGAAGCTGCACCCTGTTATTATATAAATGTTGAGACAAGATAAGTTTGTGGTAGCACCATGTGAATAAATCTCTTTTGTGAGTATGCATGGTTCTGAAAAGAACGTTTTCAAGATCAAGACGTTCTCCTCAATTATGAATAAACTTCAATTATAGCTATATTACGTGTATCTCTAACTGAAAATTCTTTAGAGTTTAACTAACAAAATGGACAAGGGCAGAATATGAACCGTCATTCCCAAGAGCCTACCATACCAGTCAGCACTGAATAAACTTCAATTATAGCTATATTACATGTATCTCTAACTGAAAATTCTTTAGAGTTTAACTAACAAAATGGACAAGGGCAGAATATGAACCGTCGTTCCCAAGAGCCTACCATACCAGTCAGCACTGAATAAACTTCAATTATAGCTACATTACGTGTATCTCTAACTGAAAATTCTTTAGAGTTTAACTAACAACATTGACAAGGGCAGAATATGAACCGTCGTTCCCAAGAGCCTACCATACCAGTCAGCTGCAGGATTGAAATATCCAGTCGTGATGGCAGTTCCTAATTTATCAATAATTTTGTTACAGGGAGTCAGAAGTCCCACTGAGCTCCTGGCCACTCAGAGCTGAGTGCAAGCTTCCATGGATTTGGTGAAGTTTGGTAATAAATATCTGTTCAAAACAAACTCAAAGTTACGCACAATGTCCTTACCCTGATAAGGTCTATATCATCTGCCTTGCACAGCCCCATGACGGATGCTATCTGCAGCAGACCTGATGAAGGAAAGGAAATCAATTCAAAATCCTCCGCTCAAAATTTTAAAAATTCTTTAAAATTATTGGATGACAAAAATATATCGACAATCCTTTTTGCACATTGTGACTGACAACTTTCAAATTCCAGTCAGCAGAACCTTTTTTTTAACAATTTTCTTTAGAATTTTCTGAACTATTTCTGATTTTTGTACTGCAATTCAGTCGAATGCGCACTGCCATGCTGTGAGCAGATAGGATGGGCACTTGCACTTGGAGTTGTAGAATCACTTTCTCTTTTGAATAGTGCAATCTCCCACATGGCCGAGAATGGCTTCGGATGGTGGAAAAGAGATGTTTCTTTTTATGTCCCAATTTTTTTTTTTAGTTTTAGTTCTACATGTAATCCGAGAGCAATATTAGGTTTTGTCCTTCACCGATGTACACTGTTTACTCAGTGTGTTACCTCCCGAGTGAAAGTTAGAAAAAAAAATCACTCGGGTGGGACTCGAACCTACGACCTCCTGCTTTCTAGTGCAGACGTCTTACCGCTCAAACCACCAAGCTTGCGAGATCGGTTGGCCGGTTCAAATCTGATGTACAATTAGCAGCGGGTACCCCAATTACACTATTCATAAGATGGAATTTTGCGTCGGGGTGATCTGTTGAGAATAATAAAAATGACTGCTCCTCACACTGTAGCCTGGAGTCCATCTGTGTCTCACTCAGCACATACTGGTTTTCCAACATCTCAGCCAGCTTGCCATCAAACCTACAGAAAAAAAAATCCAATTATTGTTTTGCAAGGAGTTTGGGTTTATATGAGTGTGATATAGTGTAATAGTATAAGGGGTTTTAACACCCTCCCCCTGCCTCTTGGACTTGTCCAGACTCACTGAGACTCCCAGTGCAGAAAATGCAAAACAACATTAGCCTAGCTGTATTCACTCTGCAACGGAAACTCCAAAATTCCCATAAGTTTAAGAAGAGGTCCTTGGTATTTCACCAGCCAAGACTTAGGTAAAAAAAAACATTTAAAATAGATTTTTTTCTTTTTCTTAAAAAGCCTATGTGATCTTGCTGCATTGAGCCATCAAAGTCAGACCATAAACAGCCAATTCTGAGACAATGAGAGCTAGTAGTCCCATTGAACAATGCAACAGTTGTATCCTGCTACAGTTGGTGACCACAGACTCTGAGGCAGTTTGGCCTTGAGATTTGTGACCCGATGGATCTTGCTACACTACACTTTTGACAACAGTTGCATGGTGTTGCCTTAAGCAGGGTTTCTAGCCAAATATCCAAGAAGGTTGGGGTAAGTTTTGAGACTCTTGATTGCAGCACTGAGAGTCCCAAATTTTTGGACTTGGGCTCATCTTACCGAGAAAACAGCCATTGTAGCAGCCTGATCCTTGCCTCACCGGGATGGAAGAGCAATTCTGATATCCAAGACTCATCAACGCCATCCACGTAGGGACAGTCAAGATCCTGGCCAAAAAAATAAATAGTACAGCAGCATGATTAAAGGGAATATACATCATTGGCTTTTGCTGTAATTTTCAGAAATGAACTATTTGAGGGGTTAGTATCATAGATCAAATATTGTTACACTGACATGTTTGAAGTTTTGTGTTCGAAAATGCTGGAAAAACCAAGAAAAACAAAAATGTTCAAGTAGTCTGGTTCCCTGACTCCACTAAATATAAAATGGATCAATTTACAGATGCCGGAAATTTGTAAGGTAAGGGAACTAGTATAGCTGGCCTGCACCCATTCATGAACATGTAACCAATAGCAAACAAAATTTCGACTGAAAAAAAGGTAAATTTGGAGCAGTAGTTGACAAATAGTTAGGTTTTTCCAACGGTGGTCGGCCGACCACTGTTGGAATTTTTTACAAAAATACCATTTTCTTGAAAATGACTTCACACCAGGTGCCATAATTTTACAGGATGCTTTAAACTGTCATTTTTCAACATCCTAGTAAGGTATTTCGTAAAAATTTGGCAGTTTTATTTTTCGATGTTTGCAAATGTTGTATACATGTATTCCCTTTAAGTAAATCATAAGCTAAATCACAAGTATGATCAAAAGTTATAGGTCGCAAGTAACAGGGGACGGACATTGAAAAAGGAATGTTGTCACAGTTCATTTGAATAGCCTATCACTTGACTTGAAACTGGATTACTTGAGATGAAGTTGTGATTTGAGATATGTGATTGAGGTAATGCTTTATCATAAAATTCTGGCGAATCTTTGTTTGACAAACATGGGGAACGTGCTTTACAGGTGTTTTTCTCACAGTATCTGACCCCTTTTGTAGCCCCATAATGCCCAGGGGGCCAATTTCAAAGAGCTGCTTAAGCACAAAATTTGCTTAAGCACAAAAAAATCTTGCTTAATATAATCAGGTTACCGGCCAAAACTCCACTCGATTGTTATGCTAAGCAAACAACAGCTAAATACCAGTCACAAGCAATGTACATCCCATGGAGTTTTGGCGGGTTACGTGATTTTACTAAGCAATGTTTTTTCGTGCTTAAGCAAATTTTGTGCTTAAGCAGCTCTATGAAATTGGGCCCAGATATACTGGAGTACCTTTTATTTGATTTTCCTAGGCCCACTGTTATCGGTGGAAAATTTGCTCCCTTTGTTTCCAGTGCATTATTCTTAGACTGTTCTGCGACTTTGTTTCCAGCTTAAAAGCCTACTTACCAGGTTTAAAATAAATTAACCCAACTCATCAAATTACGCCCGAATCCTGGATTTTTAGTTTCCATGTAAATTAATGAAAGGAAAGATTTAGAAATCTTAGTCTAATATTTTCCTCTGGAAATGGCACCATACAATATCAAAATCAAATAAAAGTCATTCGTAAAAAAAGTTGTCCCAATTTTCCAAATAAAAATAAAGTAGGCCTCGCCTGTGTTTTTCCACTTTGGAAAGAATTCCATACTAGGCCACCAACTCAGACCTCCTGCACAAAGTCTACGGGCCATGGCACAAAAAGTTAGAATATTTAAAAGATTTTTTTCACTCCTGAAAATAGTGTTTCTTCATCAGATTTACAACTTTTGGTACTTTTCAGGTCATATTTAATAGCAGACTGGGACCGTGAGTGCATAAAAACGTGCAAAATTACTACTGACGTTTTTTTACTCACCATCAGGCTAATTAATGCCCACACAACACATACATCAAAATGATATAGTTGCAAGCATGTCACATGCGAAATTTGAGACCTTAAATCCAATTTTAAGGTAAGTTTTTGGCAGTTCAAAAACCATCCACGTCAATCTCCATGCTCTGGAAATGTGTGTGTGAGTCCCAATGTATTCTGGGTAGGTGTAGGTAAAGCCTTGCAGCTTACTTGTTTTTTAATCGATGGCCCAATGAACATAGCGCCCTCTGTTAAAAAATGAAACAATTTGCATTTACTCAGATCAACAAGAGGGCGCTGTTTTATCTACACGATGAAAATGTTATAGCTGAGGAGTCTTTTTGCACAATGCATTGCAGTACACATCGACATGATGTCTCACGTTTGGATTTCGATAACTCTCTGTAAACTTAGATTTAAAAGCTGAATTTTTGGTGATGCAATGCTCACAACAGCAACTTTGCGAGGCAAAAGTTTTGGGGATTATTGAAGAAACTGTAGTGAGTAAGAACCTTGCAAATTTGATTCACACTGGTTTTATTATGCAGCACAAACTTTTGCACGATATGGATACCTTAAGTTTTGGGACTCTCATACACAGTATTGAGAGTCCCAAATTTTCGGACTAATTTAATAGTAGCCCCATAAATGTGGCCAATTTACTGGACTACCTTCTCATGTCATGTTGGGGTGTTTGTTTCTTTATCATCATGTTTGTTTGTTTTTAAGATAGTGGATATTTTGCCGGAGGTAATGACGGCAAACTAACGATTACTAAAGGTTTGCCGGCGGCAATCCATAGCAACAGAGGGCGCTGTACTCTTTAAAATAGGGCTGAATTATAAGATGTATTAAATTCCCACCAAAAGTTGAGTAGCACGTTTGGTGTAATGGTTAAGCAAAGGCTCTAGTAAGCGGGATGTCTCGCGTTCGATTCCGACCACACCACATTTTTAAGGTTTTTTTTCTCAACCCCAAATAAATAAGAATATTCTTCTTTTATTATTTTAACATGTCTCCAACATTTTATTGCAGAGTAGGGGCCTATTACATTTTCTTTTTCAGATTTGTGGCTCTGGAGGATTTTTTTTTAAAGGGAAATAAAGTCCGAAATTATAAAATAGTCTGAATCCCATCTTGTGAATACGAGGTTACAACGATAATATTGGCATGGAGCCAGACTAAAATTTGTCACCGGAAAATGAGTACGAAAAAACAGTAACTGCGCATGTTCAGTGCATAACCGGCAAACTAACGTTTACTAAAGGTTTGCCGTCTCCGGCAAAATATCCAATAATCCACTGCCTTTAACAATATCAAAATTCAAATCATGCCAAAAAAGTACAAAAGTCAAAATGAAACTGAAAAGTGCAGTTCAACAACATCATGAACATGTTCAAGTACCTGACAAGTGGGTCTACTTGGACAAAATGAAAACCAGTACAAGTCTCCACATTCAACTACCAAATACCCGGATGCCAACTCATTTTCCTTGCACGCTGAAAAACGGATATAACTTGCAAGTTAAGTTACCTGCAATCTTTTCTTGAATGAGCGAGCGAGAACTTCTTTTGAACTCCCCGCCATGTTCTTGAACAGGTATGGAAATAAAAACAGACAAAATAATCTACTAACAAATGCACCACAATTTTCACCATCAAAGTCATTAAATCCTTGCCCAAAACAAATAAAAATAGCATTAAAGTACTAATACTGTGTTTAAAAAATCTACTGTTTTAAAACTTGAGAGAAACTGTCACTATTATTATCAATTTATTAAGGTTTACAATGAGGATCCTTGTTTGCGTCTTTTGCGGTTTATACCTTTAGTTTGCCCTTTGACCTCCAATTCTTTTTGATCTGGGACAAAATCAAGATGGCGTTCAGCTATCGATCGATGGTTGGCCGTGCTTTTCAAACTTATCGCGAAAATGGAGGCCTAATGGCCAGTTTCTGGAAATTGTTACGGTAATAAAGAAATTATTGGAATAATGCAACATCCTAGTGAAAGATTCTGGTACATTTTTAATGGAATTGTAGTAGTTTTGGCCTGCAAACTTGCAAAGTTTAACTAACCTGCTAACGTGAATGCAGGCCAACTATAGAGGGCGCTATAGACCATAACTTTGTAAATTTGGAATTTGGAATGATGTTTTACAATCAATAAGTCAAAGTGTAATTAACTATTATACAATTTAGCAGTTGATTAGGGCTGTCTTTTTTTTGTAGTTTTGTATTATGAATAATAATATTTTTGTTCATTTTCTTACAAAATTTGAAATGTTTGCTTTCTTTTATTTTTCTTGGGCCTAAAATTGTACCCTAAGGCCTAACGACACGTGGCTCGGCCCCCAACGTGGCGCACTTTGATTTTTCGCCTGTAGTGCCTAGTATAGCTTAAGCCACAGTTTTAACAAGTTCTAAACAATTCCATTCATAAATCACGAGTTTATCTTCCTGGGCCCAATTTCACGGCGCTGCTTAACAGTTAGCAGAAAAGTTGTGTTTAGCATATAGCAGAAAAATTTGCTAACCTTAAGCACTATTTCACGGCGTGGACGTGCTAACGGTCACGCACGCATGGAGATTTCTATTGATACGTCACTAAGTTAAGCAATTTTTTCTCGGAAGTAAGCGTGCCTTTTGCTGTGCTTATGCTTACGGTCTCCATGAAATAGACGAAGGCTCTGTTAGCAGAAAATTGTGTGCTTAGCAGCGCCGTGAAATTGGGCCCTGTTTACAAAGTTAGCAGAAAAAATATTTCGGCGTGATTTTCCGATTTTATTTCAAAGTGCAAATGAACCCTTTGAAAATGTCCCCCCCCCCCAAAAAAAAATTGAAAATAATTTGCTGACACCCTTTTAGTTGGGTACGTAAGTAAAGATAATGATGGTTTATCAGAATTTATCAGTTTTACAGAAATTCTTAAATGTTAATATGGAATTTCCCGAGATTGGATAGAATTAAATTGAATCTGATCTTATTTATTTTCATAAGAATGAGTTCAGCGAATGATGTTTGATTCACCACAGTATCAGCAAGCATTTCATGGATTGCATGAGATTTCAGTCAGTTGAGGTCAAAGTGAACATATTTGGATAAAGCATTGCAGTGTTAGGATGGTTCGCACCATATATTTCTTGGGGCTGGGATTTAACCAATCTTACTTTTCGAAAGCCGAGAAGTTCTCAATATCATTCCTTGTTTCATTTCACTGGAGTTTATTGGCAGTATTTCAATAATGTTGCATTATGGTATTAAAAAAGTCTAAATTTATTTATTTTATTTTTTTTTTCATTTCAGAGGAGATGATCCACTTAAGATGGGAGTTCTTGTCGGCTCTGACAAATTTGGGAATAAATATTTCGAGAATGATAAATATTTTCAAGGTAGGTCTAATTGCATTATCACATTTACACATAACCTAGACCAAGTAACTGGGGTGCTAAAACTCTTCTTCTTTTTTCCCTTTTTTTTTGTTCGGTCGGTCATACTAGCGACCAAAGACAAAAATTTAAAAAAGGAGTTCTAGCGCCACAGTTACTGGGTCTACTCAAAACCCGTTATGGAATTTACATATTTCCAACTCAAATTCCATCTTATGAAGAGTCAGTACCCACTGCTATATCAGATTTGAAGCAGCCGGCACTGGCAAACTCAGTGGTCGAGTGGTAAGATGTCTTCACTGGTAAGCAGGAGGTCATAGGTTCGAGTCCCATCTGAGTAGTTTGTAAATTTTTTTTCCACAATCACTCGGGACAACACTAAGTATACAGTGTTTATAAAATAGGCCAGTGAAGGGCAATACTCAATATTGAATTTACATCACCCCGACGCAAATTCCTTCTTACGAAGAATTTGCTTTCCTCAGAAATTTTGTTGGGTGGGGCATGAAACAGAAGATATCCTTTTTAAAACTATTTTTATTTTTTTTAAATGCAGCGTGTGGCGTTTCCTTGCAAACTTGGGTACTAAATGCAGAATGATGTACAGCAGGCCTAGCAGGGCTAGTTATACTCTGTGAACATTTTGCTTTGTTGTAAACCACTGTCCATCACGAGTCAGTCACAACATCAAATCACAAGTCAGGTTTGATTGTAATTTGTTTCTGATTATTCGTCAAGTGGCCGTGACAGCCCAGGAAAGTCTTTCGACTTATTTCCGGTGGGGCCCCTTGATAGATGATGTGGAAGGACATTACAGATTTAGTGGTGGGAGGAAAACCCCAGAATGATATTCCAGGGGAAAACCCACGGAATCAGGTAGAGACTGAAAACCCAATCCACATATTGGCCAAGTAGGGACTCGAACCCGTGTCACAGCGGTTTGAAGGCGAGGAAAGTGCCGCTACGCCAACCTGATCCCCGCATACAAACATGTCAAACAGTGACACAGGACTGTCTTTGTCACAGTTCATTTTAGTAGCTTGTGACATGACGGGCTTCAGGATTCCAGAGGAGAACTTGCCAGCTAGTCAAGTTCTCCTCTGGAATCCTGAAGCCCCTCGACGAAAAGGTCGTCCCAACATGACCCTGAAAACATCCATCGAGCTAGAAACTGGTTTGAGTGGTCCATCTCTTTCCAACACTATGCTCGACAGGGACAGTTGGGCTCAACTCATCAAGTCAGCATGAAAATGAATGAATGAAGAAAAAGAAGTGACGTGACTTGAGACTGGTTAACTGGTGATTGATTTGTAAAGACACAGCAACTCTCTTGTTGACATCGTTACCATGGTTATTGTGTCATAATGATCTGGTTGCTTTCCACCCATCACATTCACAGGACGTAATCGCTGGGTGGAATACCGAAAGGACAAGTATTGGAACTTAGATGCCAGCATGGTACCACCAGAATGGTAAGCCAGTGACTAAAATTACACACACAGGGTTTGAAGTACAGTGTAGGACCAATACACCAAGTCCAGTAATTAAAACTATGATTAAAACTCTGAATGTTTTCAGTTGCCTGCTGAATCCAACAGATTTCAACAGGATTATATACAAGGGGTCTACTGCTCTCTCCAACAGGACCCAACGGATATGTAAAATAGTTGGATCCTGTTGGATTGAGCAGGTTTAGAGTTTTAAGCACCCTTCAAGTGCTCTCTGAGCGACTCAGTTACTTTAACACATCATATCCCTTCACCTGAAACTGACCACAGGGTTTTAAAGGGTGCAAAATATCCTTCTGAATATTGACTAAATGTGAGATAAAATTGGTTAATGTGAGATGCGTTGTGTGATATCCCGCTGGGATATGTCAAATGTGTTCATGAAGTACTGTTCATGTCAATCGCAAAGTTGGTTTTCATTTACTGTTTTTTCTTTATCAAAGTGATAGATTTTCTCTCTATTTTTTTTTTAATTGAGAACAATTTTTCAAAACATTTCAGCTTTTTACCAACCTTTTCATACATCATCTGATTTTATATATCCCGCTAAAATTGTCATTGTTAAAGATATAATGAAGTAAATTTGTGATGTTTGGAAATAAATCAAATCAAATCAAATCAAGGGTGCTAATATTGTCTAAGGTCCTCAAATCTTGTTTCCTTTCAAAAAAATAAACATTAAGGCCCCCCACCTTCCAAAAAAATGTTTTGTTTAGAGTTTCCTTGTTTGTGAGGCATTCTTTAAAATTTTCAAAAATGATTCCGACAGCAAAAAGTCAAAAGGGGGCTTCCATAATTTTTTTTTCTGGCAGGCACCGCTGGCTTCAGCAGATGACAGATGACCCGCCCACCAAGGTCCCTCCAACGCCCCGTAAATTTCTGGCAGAGCACACCTACAACCAATCAGGAACCAGCTCATGCTACGTGCCCAGCACCACCACGCCAAAGAAGATCCACGAATGGGTACCTCCAGTCAAGACCAAGTGACGTGGGTTTTTCTTGGTTTAGGTTTTTTTTCAGCATCTGTTTCATTAAGAGCAAATTTGATCAACTACCGGTAGTGGCCAGTGTTGAAGTCGAGTCCATCACAAGTCCAGTCACAAGTCCTTTCATATAAAGTCCAGTCACAAGTAACTGGATGAACAATGACAAAGGAATGCTTTCGAATAGCTAGTGACTTGACTTGAGGCTGAAGGACTTACGTTGTACATGTTCGTATGTACGATGTGATGGACTTGCAGGGACTTGTGATGGACTCGACTAAAACACTGCTAGTGGTTGATTCATGACTTTATCTTGTGGCTGAATGACTAAAAACTGACGCTTAAAAGATCCGATCAGTCCTTCTGTTTCGAGGTGTGCGATCACACCCCCACGCCATCACACGCCTAAATGCTTCCTGAGAAGTGCGAATAATCACACGCCTGAATCCCTCAGCACCGCACACCTCGGCATACATTTACGGCATAATTATACTTTGTAATTTGTGAAAATAAAGTATGTCGGTGAAGAGAAAACGGCTTTATTGTAAACCAAGATGAATATTATGAAAAAAATACCAGATTGTTCAGTCCCAGCTTGGACCACAAACTCACACACCTAGAAAAATCACATGCCTAGAAAAATCACACGCCTAGAAAAATCACCTGCCTAGAAAAATCACACGCCTAGAAAAATCACACTCCTAGAAAAATCCGGGTGTGCGTTTTTCCACACACCTGTGATTTTCAAATCAGAAGGACTGATATCCCTAGTCTAACTACATGTACATGGTCCAATATCATCACAGTGCTGGCTCTCTGAAAGCCAGCAGTGAGCCAACCCGTTTTGGACTAGTTCCTATTGGGCTCCGTACGTGAACGAGAGAGGGCGTTTTTTTACCACTTTTGAGATCCCAGTGGGCGGGACACAACGCATGCGTGTACTGGTTCGCACAAGTGAAGCGTGAAGTACATAAGACTAATTCTATTATGAATGTGCACAAAGCCATAGCGTTTTCGTATGATCGCCTGGCGTCATCGGCAATGCGTTTGAATGTCTCTCCTAGTTGTCTCCCCAAACTCTCCCCTTCTTACCATTGAGGGGGTACTTGTGCACGGAGCCCATAATCAGCCAGACATGTTTCACTATTTTTGACTAGCATCTGTGGCCGGAAGTAGCACCCGTCTATTGGAAGTACCTTCATCTACTTTCATAGGCGCTTGTGTAATTGCTGGCATTAGGCCAAAAAAAAATATTCGGTCTCTGGTCAGACCAAAGTTACGGAATTGACGCGGGGACGCGGCTTTTTTTCTTTTTTTGGCTTTTTTTTTTTTCTTCAAGCTTGGATTGTACAGACAAGGTGTGGTACTATTTTGCTTTTTTGGTGTCCTCATGAACATTGGTGTCCTCCATAATTTGCCTTGGTGCTCTCGATCATTTGCCTTGGTGCAATTTCCCATTCCTTGGTGCTCTTTGGTAAAAAAAATTGAGGAGGTGCGACAATAGAGGGCGCTGTTGGAGCTACCGCGGAACATTTTGAAAAAAAAAAAGATTGACGTGCATGATTAAAATTGACGCGCGCGCTGACCAGAGACCGACTTCTTTCTTTTTTTGGCCTTATCAGTAGTTCGGACATGGCCAGTGTCGTGCTACTTAACTGTATATCTTGATTGAGTTTGCTCTAGAGCTTTTCCCAATTCTTTGATAACCTTTTTCAAGGGTAGATTTAATACCTATGTGTGTGTTGAATGTGAAAAGAATCACAGCAGTCAGTTCAAACAGTCACACGCTTGGTAACTTCGTACAACATACTTTCATCTGATGTTTAATACAAACTGCTGGAGCAACTTACTGATGCACCTGAGTTGTGTTCTAAAGATTTAATAACCTAGTTGTTGGAATTTGCTATGCATGGATTGAATTAGGACTAAAGTAATAATTTCCAACAGATATTTAGAAGAAGCATTACGAAGCTTTGTTTTGCCTCAAAAATTTAGCTCCAATTCACACCATGCAGCATGTTCTTTCATGGACCAGTGATCATCTGTTAAAGGAAACATTAGTTATCAAACTGTACTTTCTAACATTTAGATTAAGCAGACTTCAGCAAAATTGACGTTTCCTTTTGTAAAAACAAAAATTCATGCAAAATGGAAAGTTGAACACTAAGGAGTTTTAAATTTTTTCTTGCGACTTAACAACTAATGTGATACAATGCCCTGGTTTTCTTTATACTGGTGTGCGTTCATAGTTGTGCAAACCGCTCACAGATGTACATAAGAGAGATTGAGTTAAATAAAATATAAATGAGATTGGATTTCAGGTATCTGTTTTGGTGTATTTGATCGAGTTTGCTTGCAGATATTTTTGCTTGTTCCAGAGGGCCAGTCTTCAGACCTCTTTGTACCTGACCGACTGACGGACTGATTGATTGACTGTCACTTGTGTCTTGGCCTTGGGCCAATTTCACCGCGCTGCTAAGCACACAAATTTGCTTAGCACAAAAAAAGTCTGGCTTATTAAAAGCAGGTTATCCGCCAAAACTCCACGTGATGTGTATTGCTCGTGATTAGTATTCAGCTGTTGTTTGCTTAGCATGAAAATCACATGGAGTTTTGGCTGTTAACCTGCTGTTATAAGCCAGACTTTTTTTGTGCTAAGCAAATTTTTGTGCTTAGCAGCGCCGTGAAATTGGGCCCTGCTGGTTGTTGGCTGGTGAAGATGAGCTGGGCAGTGCTATCTTATAGGATTGTCCTGTAATGGACTACAACCTGGCCTATTCGAGGTATGGCACACACAATACGAGGGCGCTGTTTGGTTTGACATAATTACAAATGGCTTGACCCAAATCAAACAGCGCCCTCTTATTGTGTCAGCCATACCTCGAATAGGCTAATTGCATACACCAGATGCATGACAAGACTTCCAGAGAATAGCCACACTGATATCAATAAACTTGTTGGGCAAATTAGGATCGACAGCATTTTCGGTCCCCACAAGTACAGAGAGTGTATTGAAAGATCTGGCAAAGTAGGGGTTAATGAATAAAACAACAACGGAAACAAAACGTAGTTGAAAAATTAGTTTATTCAATGAAAGGCAGTATCACTGCAAAATATCTTGATTCAAGGTAAACTTACTCGTACGTTTGTAATACTTCATAGTTACATGGGCGAATCCCATTCAAAGGTGGTATAGAAAGCATTATTGTCTTTTTAGTAAAATCCACTAATTTTGCCCAATGCAAAACAGCACAGACAGATGTTTGACTTTCTGCACGTAAATATAGTTAGTGCACATTACAACCCAAGTGTATTAGGTTTGAAGTTAATACTATAATCGCCACAGATTGGACTTAGTCGGCAAAAATTTACTCAAATTAACATTACACAAACCAGCATCCTCTCCATATCACTACGCAGATTCAATGTAGCAAGAGTTAACCATTCATTTATGAAATGTGCAAATATTCATAAATGAAATGAATTAAATGCATTAGCATAATGTAACAAATAAATAAGGTTAAGAGTAATGTCTAATGCGTGTGTTTGAGATAGGAAACATGGATCGCATCTGACAAAAACAAACAACAAAAACCACACATTTAACGTTTCCGCCAATCAGCTTATTCCCAAGCGAACCATTAAAAATTAAAAAATCACTGTGTAAAGTTGCATACAGATTTTTTTCACAAAACACATGGCACAGATGTGAATTACGAATACCTGTAGTACATTTTTGTAAACAAAAACGCCTCTGTAAACAATGTTGGCACCCTGCCAGTTTGGAAGGGACAGAACCTGCCCTCGCTTCTTCCTAGCCCCAAAAACGTGGCCAATTTACTGGAATACCTTCGTAAATAAGGGCCACACTTGGAACATGTACCCGAACATGTAGAACTATGTCAAATTTTGCTTTTCACATTTGGACTATATTTGTAAGTGTATTTACGCTTCAGAAACACACTCGCATGCTTTATAGCGATAGACAAGGAGTCGTGCATTTTGCAGGTCTACGTCTATTTTCTTGTGTAATTTCGTGTCGGAATTTAGACACGCAAACATGTGCAAACAAACCTGGAAATTACACCAAAAACAGACGTCTGAAAAATGCAGGACTACTTTTCTGTGGCTATAACTTGGCTTCTAAAGCGTACATAAACTACAAATATAGTCCAAATCTAAATTGCCAAGTTCTACACTTTTAGGTGCATGTTCCAAGTGTGGCCTTTATTTATGGAGGTAGTCCAGTAAATTGGCCACATTTATGGGACTAGCTTCTTCCCAGAACTTGCTGTGTTTACTTTTTTGCAAAACGAAACAATTTCCCTCGGTTCGTAGACCCAGTGAGAAATCACATAGCTTGGCCATTTTCTTTCTCAACAGGTTTTACTACTATTTTCATACAATACATATTTTTATTATATTACGGTTTAACTTAATATTAATATATAAGTTGTTAATTTCAGAAGGAGCTTGTTAACTGTCCAACCATTAAAGTTTGAACAAAATATTCCAGTTAAATGAAGTTGATGCAAAGGCCGCTTACATTTTTTTTACAAATCTTATCTAATAATAGTGCACGGCCTTAAATGTGATGTCAACGTCTGATTAGATACAAGTATGGTGTCCAAGTCACAAAATTGTACACACAGCCACGACATCAAAGTGGTTGGGAAAAAGACAGGCATTGATTGGGCAATATATTTTGTTGGTCTTAATTTTCGTAGGCCAGCCCTATGGTTGCAGACCAGTAAATAAACTACCATAGACCCCAATGATAAATGCCCCCACTTCAGAAATTCAGGAAAAATACTCACAACTCTCCAAGGTGATTGAGACACACATCAAATTAAAGCTTATAACATCATCTTTCATTTTCTTTTCAATTTCTTGGGGGGGGGGGGGTTATCTGATGACTTTTAGAAGAAATTTCCATCCGAAGATGATTGCCCTTTAAAATACTCCTGAAGCCCATCGCCATTTTGAAAAACGATGCCTACTCTCCATTGCCAAATAGAGCGCTTTTAGGGCCCCAATTTCATCCAAATTGCACAGAACTACAAGCTCACAGTCCTATGCACGGCTTCCACCCATATTTTTTTGCAAACCCTTAAGTTCATGGCACACAATATGCTCAAATATTGAAGAATTTGAGGGCAAACCCTTAAGTTCATGGCACACAATATGCTCAAATATTGAAGAATTTGAGGGCATGCAATTTGATGATTTGGCTGGCATGGGCCACTTTTACTGGCCTGCAACCCTGGACTGGCTGATATGGCCTTCATGGTTTGGCAGCCACACAGAGATGGCTTACCCTTTTGGGGGGTCACTCACATTTGTATTTGAAAAAAAAATTGCACAATTAACTGTCCATACAGCAAACACAAAAAAAAAAAACATGATAATAAAACACAACAAAAATGAAAAAAAATAAACAAAATGCAGTTGAAACAAGGTCAAATTCAGAGGGGCCTGGATTGTTTATGTGATATGTGATATTTACAATCTTACATCCAAATACTTTCCAAGGGGCGAAAAAAAATCTGGAACGTGCACAGACTTAATGCAGGAAAACTTGTTGCAAAAATTTGCTGCAAGAGGAAAAGACGCCATATCAGAAATCAAGTGAATATAGTAATATACAGTATCATCACACACAAACTGAAAGTGCCACATGAGGAGCTTGCCCCAGAAAATACAGATAACTTGAAAGCTACAGTCCATCATTTGCAGCTATCCAAAAAGTAACTGGCGTTAATTATTGTTGAAAAACATACTTGGTTGAAAGATAGTAAGGGGACTTAACTCCCTGTGAAATTATTCTTTCTGGCAAGCTGTCATTTTGAAGAAATCAACGAAAGAAGGCATTTCCAACAGTGCGTCTAAAGATGCACCGGTTGGAAAGGCCTTCTAACGGTGCGTCTAAAGACGTTTTCGTTAGTAGTTCGTTTTTATATTCGGCGAAGCACGCGCAAGCATTGGCACGATGCACACGCGTGCGTGGTTGCTATAATTCGTTGGATCGGTGTGCGACATCGCTGCAATCGGGTCAGGGATAATGTGTCTCAGACGCTGAATTCAGGCCCAATTCAAAACATGATTCAGCAACTTTTGATTTGAAATTGAGATCCTAGAATGCTGTTTTCTCAGATTATACAGCTGAAGCTGGGCTGAAACTTCATCAGGTTAGTTATTAAGCACCCATCTTTAGATTTTGAGCACGTTTGCTGCTTCAAACAAACAAAATGCACAAATTACAAATGACGGACTGTACCTTTAAACTTACAAACTCAAACAAGACAACAGACCGATTCATTAAGCCCAGCCCCATGGTGCAATGACCAATCACAGCCGTGATTAATGTCCCATATATAAAGTGCACATAGTTCCAACATACGTGCCACAATCAACCAATGCACGTGCGCATGGCGCATGCTGCCGGAACATACATTCGCAAAGTGTTGCATTAGAGATGCGCATGTACAGTGTGTCTAAAAAAATTGCAAACAAAATATAACGGAATGCCAGACGTAGAATGTGTAACTAATATAGATAATATAGTTATGGTTTGAAAGATACGCCTGTCCACTTTAAAATGAGACATCAAACGTCCAAATCTGATAATTTTTGACAGAGTTATGAGTAATTTTCCAGGTCAAATTGACCACATTGAGACAGGTCAAATTGACCACGGGACCAAGTTTTCGATTTTAGGCATTGGGACAAAGGTAGCCTAATCGCCTCTGTGCGGATATTTGCCTGGCCTACGTGTAAACACAATTCTAAACACTTTCTTGCTATCACCTCATGCTAAAAACGTTTAGCATGTAAACATGTTTACAAACTGATAGCAAGAAAGTGTTTAGAATCGTGTTTCCTTTAGCTGCTATATCTTGCCGTTTTCGAAAATTGAAATTTTCAGCCCCCCCCAAAAACCCGGCGCGAACTGGTTTTAAAACGCAGAAAGAAAACAAATATCATGTTCTATAGAATTTAAGAAGACGAGGTACCGGTAGCCCTTTTAAAGGTATATTACTACTACCTGTAACAAACATGAAAAGCTTCAGTACATGTGCAACCACTTATCCAAATTAGTTTGTCCTTAAATAATTCTTGTTATCAATTTATTTAATATTAGTCAGCCCTTTTTCAGACTTTTATTAACATATTTGAAAAAGACCGGTAACTTGCCACAGAATGGCATGCTCTGAAATCTTGCATCCGTAAACTTGTCCTATTAGTTTTCCCTGAATATACAGAAATGTATTTACAAAGTGATACATGTTTTTTTATACATGATTTCACAAGCACACAAGGTTGATACCAGTATTTGTACAATTCCGTCACAGAAAGTATGCCTTATATCACGTATTCTAGCTATCCCACAAGGCTGTGTCAAACGTCAAAGCTGACAAAGTTAGTTTCACAGTTGAGTGAGGCACGGCAACAAAGGCACGGCACTGAACAGGTTTCAAGAATACAACAAATCCTCTCTCAAATCCTCACACTGGACTAGTGTTGCAGTCAAGTCCAACACAATGCCGTCATAAGTCTGCAAATAAATCATAAGTCTAGTTGTAAGTAACACGTCACAATTCAAATCACAAGTAACACATAACGAAACATAACAAAGGACTCTTTTTATCAGTCATGACAGTTCAATTGAGTAGCTTGTGACTCGACTTGGGACTGTATGACTTGTGATTGACTTGTGATGGACTTGTGACTGACTTGTGATTGACTTGTGATTGACTTGTGATTGACTAGTGATTTGACTTGTGATTGACTTGTGATGGACTTGTGACTGACTTGTGATTGACTTGTGATTGACTTGTGATTGACTAGTGATTTGACTTGTGATTGACTTGTGATGACTTGTGATAGACTTGTGATTGACTTGTGATAGACTTGTGATTGACTTGTGATTGACTGGTGATTGACTTGTGATTGAATTTTGATTTGACTTGTGATTTGACTTGTGATGACTTATGATGGACTTGTGACTGACATTTTGATTGACTTGTAATGGCCTTGTGATTGACTTACAACTGAATTGAGATTGACTTGTGATGACTTGTGATTGACTTGTAATGGACTTGTGATGGACTTGTGACTGACATTTTGATTGATTTGTGATGGACTTGTGATTGACATGCGATTGACTCACAATTGAATTGAGATTGACTTGTGATGACTTGTGATTGACTTGGGATGACTTGAAATGGCTTGTGATTGGCTTGGGATGGACTTGGGATGGATTTTTGATGGACTTGTAATGACATAATTGACTTGTGATGGACTCAGGATTACTTGTGATGACTTGTGATTCACTTGTGAGGACTTGTGATTGACTTATGATGGACTCGACTACAACACTCGTATACACTCCACGCTATCATCAGTGTAGGACACACGTTTGTGCATGCTGGTTCATAATGACTCGGAAGCTTAAGCTAAAGTCATGGACGTAACCAACTTTAAAAAACAAATTAATATATCTCCCTAGGTCGGCCTTGGTCCTCCTCCGTCGTTTGTTTACTCCCAGCAAGGTCCCTGAGATTGGACGCCCTCCGGCGAGACTCCAGGGCCCTCTGGTGGATCTCCTGCAGTCTGATCTGGACGTCTCCTAGTAAGGGTCTGTCACCGGGCTCGCCGGCCCAGCAGGCCTGCATCAGCTCCCAGCAGGGCTTGTCAAAGACGTTAAGCCTCTCGGGACGTACTCCTGGATGGAGAAAAATAGGATGTTGAGTGAGGGCCCACCATCAGTGAGCTGTCTAGCAGATAGCAGAAATGTTGGGCCAACTTTCAAAGATAATTTATGCTTGGCTGAGGTGTATTTCACAAAGTTGATTTGGAGCCTGTCACAACGAAAAGAGCTTAAGGTGCAAAGTGCCACTTGGAAGTACAGTAAGACAAAGCCATACATTTGTCACAGTTAAGAACAATTCATAAGATGAATTTGCGTCGGGGTAATGTAAATCAATATTAGGTTTTGCCCTTCACCGAAGTATAAACACTATATACTCAGTGTGTTACCTCCCGAGTGAAAGTTGGAAAACCCATGACCTCCTGCTTTCTGGTACAGACGGCTTACCACTCGACCACCGAGCTTACAGGATCGGTTGTAAACAAGTTAGCATGTTCTTGGCTGGGTTTACTGCTTACAGTCTCTGTGAAAGTTGTGTACTTAGCAGTGCCATGAAATAGGGCCCCGGCAAGGCGAAGTTTGCAAATAAGCAGACATTCGCACAAGCAATGTGTGACATTCAAGTTCAAAACGGGTTCTTTTTTAGAGCCACGTCAGCTCAAAAAAGATTAAACTTGAAACACTTTCAAAAAAAACAAAATGCACATCCTGAAAACTTGTAACATTTCTTGAAATTATCGCATTAGTGCATCAAGGTCGTAACTAGAATCTGCAACAAAGTCGTATCTTGCGTGAATACGCTCCGTGCAACAAGGTCGTATCTTGGGTGAATACGCTCCATGCAAAAAGGTTGTATCTCGCGTATCTCGACGTCCATTGACTTTGTGTGTACATCCGGGTTATCTTAAGTGAGATACCACCTTTTGACATTGAAAACTCGCATTTCAAGTACATGACGTCACATGCCATTTTGGAAGATACGACCTTGTTGCACGGACACGACGAAATGCTTGGATGAAATTGCCATGATAGTTACATGAACATGTAGAGAACGGACAGAACTCCAGTGAAAGTACTACTTTTTAGAAAAATCTCACAATACTATTATTACTACACAAAAAGATTTAGCTAAGAGTGAAAATCAATACATGGACCAAAAATGATACTACATGGGCTAGCATGCTGGATATTTTTTCATAAAGTTTAGTCTGTGAAGCCAAACCATACCTTTCTTGACAGAACTCCACAGGTGGTCCTTATTGGCGCACTGTTCAAACGCCGTCGGCAGCCGGACGTGGCCCGCGCAGACGTACCAGAGGAGGATGCCGAACGCGTAGGTGTCCACGCTGCTGTCGTACTTGCCCGAGAAGAGCTCGGGCGCCATGTGGATCGGGGTACCGACGATGCTGCCGCTCATCATGGCCTCAGGCTTGCAGAAACCGAGGTCAGTGATCTTGCCGCGGTCGCGCTTGTCCAACTGTAGAAGTGTGTGGTACGAAAGAACACCTCGTTTTTAAATTCGAGAATTCATGCATTTTTCTCAAAATTTGAAGACCTTTGCACGGAAGAGCGACTCAGGTAAACCCAAATACACTCTGGTACCAAACAAACTCTGTACATTAATATCCATTGACGAGACCCTCAATTTATGTTGAATGACTGCAGATCACCCAGCTGTATTAATCAACTAGAAAGCTAACATGCAATGTAGCTGGCTAGGCACATCTATGTTTGTGTACAAACCTACAGACAGCTAAAAAAAAAATTGTGTGGTGGTTGTACAGCTATCTGCAGTTGTGTTCTAAACTGATGTGTAAATGAAGGATGAACAATGAATAAACTGTTGCAAACTGCCTACTGATATGGATTGACCTGAAATACACAGTATGCCTGACGTTTTGATCCTAGTAGGATCTTTCACAAGGGCAAACAGGTCTTTGACAAAGATCCTATAAGTTTCGAAATGCCAGGCCAACTAACTTGATCGGTACACGAAGCCAATAGGCCCAAAGATAAAATGCACAATCAGTGAATGAGCGTTTCATTTTGCTCAATGCAAACAGCAAACAGCGTACACGTGCCGTACACGCCTCCAGTTATTTCTGTCATACTGCGTCTATTCAGCCGTGTTTGTTGTGCTCTAGCTTTGCAATTCAACCTGAAATTCCAGTTCATATAATTTCAATATATTTTCTGCGGTCACGCAAATTTGTTCACAATTTCTGCGCCCAGAATGCCACTAAAAATATTCTACGTGAGGAGTAAGGAGTTACCGCTCTGGTAATTTACTCTCTAGCTTGTGAGGGATTGTGGCCTAGTGGTTAGGGTTTGTGACTCATGATCAGAGGGTCACGGGTTTGAATCCAGCTGCTGGCCATATGTTGTGTCCTTGGGCAAGCCACTTCACCTCCACTTTCCTCTCTCCACCCAGAAGTACAAGTGAGTACCGGCATTAGCTGGTGAGTAACCTGTGATGGACTGGCATCCCATCCAGGGGAAATGGAAATATTCTCAGTCATTTCAGGCCAAGGAAACCGGAGATAAATGCCAGCCTGATGGGCCATATTGGCTCATGACAGACTTTTATTTTTGGACTTCTTGTTGAGACAGAACTCACCAGGACATTCTTGAGTTTGATATCCCTGTGGACCAGCCCCAGACTGTGCAGATATCTCATCCCTTCCACCACGTCTAGAGCCACCTGTAGCCGTCCAGGGAAGTCCAAGCCAGCCTTGATGGCCACGTGGAGATCCCGCTGCAGTCGGTCCATGATGAGTAGGACGGCCGGCGAGCAGCCATCCCCGCCATAGCTGTGGTCGATGACGGAGCCGCGCAAGGTGACAACACGCTCATGCTCAGTGATTGACCTGAAATTACAGATGAACAATGTTCACGGTTTCAGTGTTACAAGTTCCTGGCATCGATACCTTCAAGGCCAATTTTCACACATGAACAAAATCATTTGACACAAATAAAGACCATCAAACTTTATTTATATTTTCCTCCATGTAACCCTAACACACCATTCACAAGATGGAATTTGTGTCGGGGTGATGTAAATCAATATTAGGTTTTGCCCTTCACCAACGTATAAACACTGTATACTCAGTGTGTTACCCCCCGAGTGAAAGTTGGAAAAAAACACTCGGGTGGGACTTGAACCCATGACCTTCAGCTTTCTATTCAGACGTCTCACCACTCGACCACGGAGCTTGCGGGATTGGTTGGCTGGTTCGAATCTGCCATAGCAGCTGGAATTTGGAAGTTGGAATTTTCGTCGGAGTGGTATAAATCAATACATCGATCCTTATAAACCCTATCCTTGAAAATTAAATAAGAGGTTTTGAAGTTCAATATTAGGTTTTTCCCTTCACCGATGTATTTTTTTGTACGAATACTGTATACTTAGTGTTGTCCAAGGGATGAAAGAAAAAACTTCACATGCTTAATCAGGTGGGACTCGAACCCACGACCTCCTGCTTACAAATGCAGACATATACTTTTGGTTTGCGGTAACACCTTAGTAGATTTAGTTCTGATAAGAACAGTCCTGCTTAGTTTTAAAAAGAATTTGTCTCGTTGTCTACTTTCGCTAAGTAGGTTGGAAGGCAGTAGGACTTCTCGCAATTATCTTCACTGCGGCTGAGTGAGATAAGACATGCAGACATCTTGCCAATCGAGCTTGCCTGTGTCGCAATAACTTTTATACAAAATTAAGTCCAATGCGAAGGCGGCTTAATTCAAATCTCTGATAGTTACATAAGTACAAAGTTGATATTCTTCAATCTACAACACCACCAACCTCGTGTAGTGGAACTCCAGCGCCAGGTCGTTCCAATGTTTGTCGTCGGGCGGGACCACCGACTTGACCGCCAGCGATGTCAGACTGGCCCAGTTGCGGCTGGAGTAGACCACCCCGTACTGACCGCGTCCGATCTCACGCTCCAACTTGGGCATGCCTGGGACGGGCAAACAAGAAGCAAAAACTCAAAAATGCTATCACGTGAGCTTACAAACATTGTTTTAATGGTGAATCTTCAATGAAATCTCTGGCAGCTAATACAAATTAATTGAGATCCAGGATTGGAATAACCAACATGGGACTGTCACGTAATTTTTTGTAACAATATTTTTGTTGGCTTCAACACAGCAATAATGTAAATTTCCATGTTCGTTTAATAAAATGTTGGCTTGAATAATTCTATTCGGTTGGATTTGGAAACAGGATTTTCGAAACCAACCATACAAAAAATTAAGCCTTCCATTGTTTGTGACACAAGCTAAAGACAACAACTAGAACATCCCACAATTTGCTCCATGGTCTCCGATTGGAAATGTATTCACTCGCTAGCAGTCTTTTTGGTTCATGAATAGCCTGCCCATTACACTGGTCAGAGACTTCCCCCCCCCCCTCGTTTTTTCAACATTACAGCTCTGGAGTATTTTTACGAATGCCCAGTGGTCGTTGAACCAGTAAACTACAGGTTGTCCCACAAAAACCCTAACAGTCGAAAACCAATTAATAAAGGTATATTGCATGTGAGTTTTGTGACATTTTCAAATTACCTCTTAAATTAAAGTCAGATAACCAATCTACCATACAAACTTTATTTCATTCAAATCGCTGCATTGGAACAAATGCTATGCATCATGGAACTCAAGGGTTGAAAATCGTCTTGGGCCACTTTCCTTGAAAGTGACAAAGCGCAGTTAGAGAAACACACAGAGGATTTATTTCCTTTGTTCAAGAGTAACGTGTGACTCATTCTACCGGCTACGATCTGTAAACTTGACAAATAAAAAAAAGTGGCCCAAGTGGTTTTTCAAGTCCCATATTGTGATTGCTGTATGTTTTGAACAAAACATCCTAATGAAACCAACTAAAAAGCATTTGGAAGACCAATGATTCTTCTCAGCAATACATTAGACACGATTTTGAATACTACCAACACTTTTCTGAAAACATGCCAGACTCGACTGTTTTTTTTTTTTGTGGGACAACCTGTACATCCAATCATCAATTTTTTCACCATCCCAGCTCTGGAGTTTTTTTGTAAAGGCCAAGTGCTCAATGACTCTCACAAACTAGGCCCAATCATTGCGAAGGGCACTGCATGCGGCACCTTTTTTGTCGGCATGACTGTAAGCTGTTTGGGAACTTCCGGAGAAATACGATAACTATAATTCGGTTTGAAAAAAAAAATGGGACAACCGGATTTTAAAATCTCCGATTTCTCCGATCAGTAAGTTTTTATAGTAACAGGAGTAACGTACCATACAGGACCATGTCTCGTAGCGAGGTGCTATCCAGTGCTAGTCTAGCCAGCCTAGGTGCGTGGACTTTCCTGACTTTCATCCGTTGTTCTTCAGTCTTCTCCAGCCGGCCAGAGTGCTTGTTCTCAAGCTGACGCAAGGAGGAGGAGAACGTGTCATGGGAATTGTTGAGCCGCGAACGGAACTGTGACGAGGAGACAGCAAATATGGTACGAGTTAATCCTGCACCTTAACTCCCCTTGGCATTTGTACAGGGAACCTTTCTGATAGGGTTGTCCCAGAATACACCGAATATTCAAATATTGGATCATCAAGCTAATTGCATTTAGCTTTGTTGATTACATTCAGCACTTTTTGTGATTACAAACAGCCCTGTACTAAAAACCAATACGACGTATATTTAATGAACATAGCCCAATCCTCCTGGATGATGACACCCTCAAGCAGATCCACAACGAGAAGCCCACAATTGCCTGCAGACAACCGCCCAATATTCATGCCAAACAAACTTGTCAGAAATGCACTTGCCCTCCCCATCAACAATGGAACCACCCCAGCAACGGCTCAAGATGTCAACTTTGCCCCCACATAAATTCCAGTACCCATATCATCGGACCCAATAATGTTACATATAACATCAAAGGGTCTTTCAGCCGTACTTCCAGTAGTGTGAATTATGCAATCACCTGTCAAGCTACCGGTATGCCCCAACGCAGTATACATTGGACCACAAACTGGGCAGTCACTGTAAGACAATGTATGAATGGACACAAGTTTGATATCAGAAACAAGTATTTATACAGAAACACGGTGCTGAATATTTCAATTTTACCAGGCCACACATTAAGCCAGTTTAGAGTAGCTGTACTCCAACAGATGGGATTCAAATCAAGGGCGGACAAGGAAAACACAGAGCAAAAGATTATTCATGGACTAGACTGTATTCAACTAGGCCTTTATAGGATTGTGGCTTTTTGTCACACTATACCATTGATAAGGCCAAAAAAGAAAGTCTCCGGTTTCTGGTATGCGCGCGCGTCGCCGTAGCCATGCGCGTCGGCAAAATGAAAAAGGTTTTTTTTCAATGAAAGATGATGTCTCAAAACCGCCAAACTCACTGGTTTGACTGGAATCCTGCAGCTGCACAATTTTAACGTGTTTTTAGATTGGGTTATGGTCGAGAATAAGCTTTATGTGGCCTCTCTGGACTCCCATATATTTGCACTAAGTTTAGTCGGGCACCATTTGCAGTCATCAGCCGACATTTGAAGCAAAAAAATCAGGTAAAAAAAAAAAAAAAGCCGCGTCGCCGCACCACTTTTTGGGCAAGCTCCATACCAGAAACCGGAGACTTTTTTGGGGGGGCCTAATTGATTATCACCACCCTCTGTTTTGACTGTACATGTACCCCTATATAAACCTTAAATGATGATGCCCCTCTTTGTTGCATCTGATGAAGTAGTTGTAGCTACGAAAGCTTATGCAACCCTCAAACATTTCTCCTCTTGCCTATAAATTAAACTTTTCTTTATCGTCTTCTCTCCAAAGATTTCTACAGGCTTTTGAGGTACAGTTAATCTTTAGTTTCGTCATCAAATTATAACACAAGCCCCAGTGAAAGATAAAACCGGCCTCAGGTCGACCTTGTGACGACACAGATCAGTCGATGACTGACTTTTCAGGATCAAGCTGTGCCTTAGGTACGACCGTCAGGAACAACTCAGTCGCCGATTTTGTGTGACCTGAGTGTAACTGCGACGATATTAAAATGATCGGCATCAGCCGGCGCTCACAAAAATCAACAGTCGCAAGAGTAGAAAATTTTGAACTTCTGCGACGTGTTCCGCGACAATCACACAATTTTCCAGTTTTGTGACCTGAACATATTTTTGGTGCTTGTGCCGACGGTTCCATCATGGTGCAAGCAAATCGTTGGTCGACCTGAGGCCGGCTTGAGGCCATGTTCGAATCACATGGCTTCCACCAGAATTTAAACACAAATCTATGGGAAGTGGCTGCAGCGGCTAGCCAGCGGCTTCCATAGGTGTGCCTGTTATTCCCAGCCATAGCCATAATTAAAAATTCCAGTAGGTACGGCTATGGCTTTGGCTTTTGATATTGAGCTTCTGCTAACAGAATCCATAGCCACAGATGATTATTGCCAGACTCAGACTCGGTCTCACCTGCGAGCAAATACTCTTGGCAAGCTTGGAATCATCCAGGTTGTTCAGCATGTTGATGGCTACCTTCCGTTTCCAGTCCTTATCCACGATGGGCGGTGCCTTGAAGGGCTTCATAGACTGCAGAATCTGAGAAAAAGACACACAGAGAAAATTACCATAACTGCAAATAGTAATGCTAATAGGTCCATAGACATTGTAATATTAAATAACAGGTACTAATATGGCACTTTTAACAAAAGATCAAAGTGTTTTTCATTATTATTACCCCTGCTCATTGGGCCAATGAAACATTACAAATACAATCTCAGCTCCCTAAGAAGCATATAGCTTGATGCTGCCATTTCGGCGCAAAGCAGCTAAAATCAATCACAATACCCATCTCTGCCCTCACAGGTGCCCATTTACTCCTGGGTAGGGAGAAGCAATGAGTGACAAAGTGCCTTGCCCAAGGGCACACGCACCATAACCCCAGGCTGAACTCGAACCCACAATTGGCAGAAATTACCTGCAGACCACAAGTTCAAAGCTCCAGAACACGAGGCCACGGCACTCCACACAATATTATAAAATTAATTAAATGTTTGACGTTTCTACTAACATTTAAAGCATGACATTAGTCAAACAGATGGGAATAGTTTACATTAGTCCATCCAAACTGTGCCAAAGACCACAATCAGCCACAAAAGAGGACTGAACCCTCACAAAAACTCATTTGCTCTTCAAGTGTGAAAACTTATCACAGTAAAGTGTCCTGCTCAGGAACAACAATCAATTCTGCCACACATACCGGTACAAGCCTAACTGAAATCACACTTACCTCCTTCATTCTCTCCCACATGACCTTGACAAAGGAAGAGCTGGTCCGGACCGTCACTTCCACTTGGTAGGCGGAGTTCAGGATCTGCAAAGAATAATTGACAGGTTACAAGTCAATCACAAGTTAGATCCTCCCGTAAGTCAATCACATATTAGATCCTAAGTCAAACACATGCCAGATCGTACATAAATCAGGTCACAAGTAAAATCACAAGCCAAAGACTGTACCTGTAAATTAATAAAAAGATGTTCACAGCTCAGTTGAATGGCTTGTGACTTGACTAGGCAGCCTCGACTCCATGGGCTGCGTGCGCTTATCTTCACTAGCCCCTGGCAGTGAAGAATATGTTAGGCCAAAAAAAAAAAGTCTCCGGTTTCTGGTATGCGCGCGCGTCGCCATAGCCATGCGCGACGGCAAAATGAAAAAGGTTTTTTTTCAATGAAAGATGATGTCTCAACACCGCCAAACTCACTGGTTTGACTAGAATCCTGCTGCTGCACAATTTTAACGTGTTTTTAGATTGGGTTATGGTCGAGAATAAGCTTTATGTGGCCTCTCTGGACTCCCATATATTTGCACTAAGTTTAGTCGGGCACCATTTGCAGTCATCAGCCGACATTTGAAGCAAAAAAATCAGGTAAAAAAAAAAAAAGCCGCGTCGCCGCACCACTTTTCTGGCAAGCTCCATACCAGAAACCGGAGACTTTTTTTTTTTGGCCTTAACGACGTTGATTGACTATTCAGGGCATACTGCAGGCGTACTTTGAAGACTGCACGCTTTATATATATGCGCTTGGTAATCTCCTGCACGTCATATGTCAGGTACGAAAAAATTTTCAAGACTGCGCGATGGCTGTATGATATGGATTGTGAAAGCCCCATTTTTCGCCAAAAAAAATGTATCTTGTGTAGTAATGGGAAAACAGAGGTACGTACATTTGCTTTAAATCCTTGCTCTTAACGCGGCGTCAAACTCTAATGTTCGAAAGGATTGATTCTACAAAAATTCCAGGGTTAAGACCATGCAAAGCATGATGGGAACCAACATGGCGCAGCAAGATCGTAATAGTTGGACTAGGCCATTCATACCTGTTTGAGAGCCATGCTGGTCGTCGTTTCCCCTTGCAATCCATCCTCCCCTTTCTCCAAGCTCTCCAAGCATCGCGTCAGCGTCCCTACAAAGCTGTCGTGCAGATAATCCACCGAGCTGATCAGCTTCTCCACCACCGCCGTGTTGACCCGGTTCAAGACGAGCTCCTGGATCTGGGCCGTGCAGCCTCTGATCTCCTTGCCCTGGCTCAGCTCACCGTCAATGGAGATCTCTAAATCTGTGAGTTTAAGATTAAGATGGATCGGTATTAAGAGGGGTTAGGATTAAGATGGATTAGAATTAAGAGGGATTAGGCATTAATCAGGAGTCAACCCACATTGACCCAATCCAGATTTGATCATGTAGCCTTTGATCTCTTTGGATTGAGAATTTCCAAATAATATGTGGGATTAAGATTAACAATGATTAAGATTATGTGGGATCATGCGTAGATTGTAAGTTCAACTGTGCAGACTTGGTCCAGCACAAGCTCTTGGATCTGGGCCGTCCAGTCTTTGATCTCTTTGCTTTGGCTCAGCTCACCCTCAATGGTGATCTTTAGATATTTAGGATTAGGATTAACAGGGATTAGGCCTTAATTGGGAGTTGAACTAAATAATAATAATAATAACTGTATTTATATAGCGCTTTTTGCCAGAGGATACAAAGCGCTGGGGGAGAATGCAACCAAAGCCAGGTAAATGAAGTATATGAACATATGAGACCCATTATGAAGCACGTTTTTGCTAGGTGCTCCGGCGCATAATTGCTGCCACTGCCAGAAACACCGGGGCAAACCCCTCCTCTTAGCGACAAGTGTTACTGGGTTCTTTAACGTGCATTACACAACACACGGGTCCTACGGCTTTATACGTCCCATCCGAAGGACGAAGCAATAATGGTAAAGTGCCTTGGTCCAAGTGCCTTGGTAAAGTGCCACGGTCAGGATTCGAACCCATGTACCACGGCACACGAGTCGAACACCGTAACCATTGGACCACAGCGCCCCAGTATGTGGCCTGGTTCAGAACCAGATCATGGATCATGGTAGCGCAGACTTTGATCTCTTTGCCTTGGTTCAGCTACCAATCAATGGAGATCTCCAAATACCATTACATGTTTGTAGGATTAGGATTAAGAAGGATTAGGATTCAGAGGGATTAGGATTAAGCGCAGCTCCCATGGATGAAGATTTCTAAATCTGTGGGATTAGGACTATCTTATAATAAGGCAAAAGTCATCTAAGAACAAGCAGTACGCATTGCATGTCAATATTTCCAATACAGGGTGAGTAAAAAAAAACGAAACCCAAATGTCAGGACCATTGTTTTAGTGAAGTTCTGCATCCTTTCAAAATCTAGGATATAATTATGAAAGCCCAATTCATAAGCCTTCTTTTAGTACAAGAATCATTCAAATCACTTGTACTTTTGAAGTTATGGAATTTTAAACACTATAACCACTGTTTTAAAGTTCTGTCCACGGATCACAAAAAGGTAAGCGTTCTTTCAGCAAAACGAAAACAAATCACATAGGGATGTGTGTGCATTGTTTCGCTTTGCTGAAAGAACACTTTTTGTGATCCATGGACAGAACTTTCAACGGTACATGTAGTTGTGTTTAAAATCCCGTAAATTCAAAAGTACTGGAGTGATTTGAATGATTCTTGTACTAAAAGAAAGCTTATGAATTGGGCTTTTATATCCTAGAGTTTGGAAGTGCTACATGCAGAACTTCACTAAAACAGAAGTCCCGACATTTGGGTTTCGCTTTTTTTGACTCACCCTGTACAATCCAGTATGCAGAGAAACAGAACCCAATACATTTGCAGGAAACCTTCTTCATATAAATTTAGGAGCAAGTACCGGTACCGATATGTCTGTGCATTAGGAACGACTTCTTACCTGAATATGTTCATATGAAAAGGTGCACCACATACTGGTACATGTATGTGTACATACACTTTGTGTATACAATAAACACTGTACAAATGCAAGTGGACATTTCCACACTAACGGGGTACAACTGACTGCAAATTTGGGATTTGAGAGGGGGACACTGGAGGGTACAGCAAAGCAAGATATTTACAAGTACTGGTACAGTGCATAGATTCTTGGTAATATAAAGTTCTTTTCAAGTATTTCAAGATCATCCCTGCATCAATCGGATACCATCCCTTCATACATTGTATGCATACATACGTGTACATGTATGTAGGTGTGTGCGGGATTACGGGATTACCTCAGCTGGTGCAAACAAACATCTATTCATTTGCATCTATTCATTTGCGTATTCACTTGCAATGAGTTACCATCCAACTCTCCAAACGAGGTCAAGAACCAGACAAGGCAAACTTCCCAGAGGTTTGGGCCCACTTATTAGAAACTGTACAAAGAAATTGTACAGTTTATTTGGGATGAAAGGTTTATGATAATGCATGTATGCGGTCAACAAACTTCTGCTCATAATATCAATAAGACCTAGCATTATGTACAAAACTGTACATTTTCAAAAGATGGAATTTTTTTTACTGGTACACTATATACAAGTATGTACATATCCCTAGAGCATGGATTGTGTGTTTGAAATAGCAGCTATCTCATGCATTGTGTGTACTCTTTTGTCAGTGAGCCATATTATTGTGCCACAACAAACAAATACAATAAGGCCTTCAGCTCAATTCGTGAAGAAAAGAGAGGAATGCCATTATAAATTGCAGATACATTGTTGACAGAAAAACCATTCAGGATTGCTCCCTTTATTTGATGGAATCCACGGCTTTCAATCATTCTGTGATCAAACTTTGTATGTTGCAATAAAACTGTGCTGACGCAAGATCAGCAACGAGGCACATTTTGCAATCAACACCTAGTTTGCCCTCTACACTTGAGTTCAGAGACTAAAGTTAGTTGTGGTAAAATGTGGTCATGCAGGCACCAAACATGCCAAACTTTTCAACTGTACACCATATTTGTTACATACATTTTAGAACATGCATTAGCTCAGTCAAATTTTGTACCATTAAGTCCATTTTAAGTTTGTGAAGGCTTCATGGCACTCTGCATGTGATGGTTAATAAAAAGTGTTCTGTTAGAGAAGTCATTAAAATATCAAAAAGGTTTTTGTCCTGCATACATTTGTGTATTTCTCGCACTGAAGTTGTGGCTTTACTGTCAAAAGCATTTTGCACAACAACTCTACATATAAAGTACATGTACCGGTAGCTACCGGTAGATGTACGCACATTTGCAGCTAATGTAACTTCAAATGTTGGTTTTAATATCTTCCAAATTTTGTAAGGGTCCACTTGTTTTTTTAACACTCCCTCAGAAAGTACAATCAAAGAAAGGAAGTCACTGAAGGCAGATCCCCAAGGTCTTCTGTTCAACCACAATTGCCTCCCACATGCCTCCTAAAGATCAGGGCCCACGCAATACCGACTGAAAAGAAATACTGAGTTTCCCAAAGGGTGAAAAGAAGGGTGTGCCACGCTGGAAAAAATATCATCCGCCATTGTCCGCCGGTGAAAATGAAAATATTTTCCATGCTTGCATTTGTAAATTAAAGGGAAGATACAACATTTGCAAACATCACACAAGGAAATGATCAAATTATCATAAAATACCTTACTGGATTGTTCGGGAATGACAGTCTTAAGCATCCTGTAAAATCGTGGCTCCTGGTGTGCTATCATTCTCAAGAAAAATGGTATTTTTCCAATGCTGGTCGGCTGACCAGCGTTGGAAAAAAAACTGGCTTTTTTCAAAACCTGCTTCTATTTTTTCATAATTAGTTATTCATTGTTTTCTTTGCAATTGATTGCACACCTGTGAAGGGGTACAAGCCTGCTAGACTGATTCTCTGACTTTACAATTCCCAAAAGTCTATAAATTGCTCCGTTTCATCTTAAGTGGGGTCGGGGAACCAGACTACAAGAACATGATTGGTTTTCTTGGTTTTTCCAACATCTACAAGCCCAAAACGTGAAACAAGTCATTTTAACAATATTTGCTATAACATACTAATCTGAAAATTGCAGCAAAAGCAAATGTTGTACATTCCCCTTTAAAGCGAGCAGTGTTGTTGCTTCTGCAGTGCTCATAATTCACCTTGCATATGGTGATGTAATAACACCAACCCTCCTCAATCCTTCAAATTCCCTTGAGCAGTTTTGGAGGATATTGTAGGATTATATATGAGGCTGAATGCAACATACAGTTTGGGGTTTGAGGGCACATGGACATTCAATATCAGTTGATTTTTGGAGGATTGAGCATCAGTGAGGCTGAATTGTGTTTGACGAAGAGGAATTTGGGAGATTGAGGCTGAATGCATTTTGAGAGGCGGGGCTGTTGGAGGATTTTGATGGATTGTGGCAGTGGGTATCCTTCATTTGAACATTAAAATTTTGGTGGATTAAGGATGGTTCCTACCAGTAGCAAAAGGGCCTAGGGGGTAGGGATAATCGTGAAGTGCTTCAAGTGAGACCTTTGTATAAGCACCAAATTACCTGTATGTTGTAGTGACCGTGAGATTTAAATCTGGATTTGTAGTTGTACATGGATGTAAATTTGATTTTTGTTTTTGGATTTTGGAAAGCAGATATTCGAAACCAATCTTAAGAAAACTAAGCCTTCCATTTTTTGTGACACAGTCCAATGAATGTGGTCCATGGTCTCTGATTGTACACTGTATGTAAAGTTCTGCGTTCACTTGCTAGTACAGGTACGTGTGCATGTATAGCCTGCCCATTCAGAGAGTTCCCACCCATTTGTTTTTTTTAATTACAGCTCTGGAATATTTTAGTAAAGTCCCAGCCATCATTATACAAATGTTATATCCTGCAAACTATACCCAATTATTGGGAGGGCATTGCATGCAGCACCTCACTCATCAGTTTTTGTTGACATACCGGTAACTGTGAGCTGGATGGCAACTTCTGGTGAATCGAATAACTGATAATCGGTTTGAACAAATTAGGATAACAGGATTTTGAAAGCTCTAATTTCTCCCACCAGTAGCATAATATACCTGTAGGCACACTGTAATAATAATATGCAGCACGTACCGGTATCCACCAGTATCCATTCCGTTCACAAGTACTGGTACCCCATCACCGGCAAAGAAAGTACAGTTGGGGGTGACCGAACGCCGGCATCGTGCCCGACTGCAATATTTTGCCGCAAAGCGAGGCCACTGCGTGTACATAGTACAAATCCCCTGGTGTACATGTACGTGCGTCACACACATGGAACGGTGCGCGTGCGTCAACCAGCGAAATGTACATGTATATGTGTCCCGCCCATGGGGCGTCGTTGCTAGGTAAAATGGCGCCCTCTTTTGTTGGCGCACGGAGCCCATTGGTGCTCAAGGTGCTCCATCATTAACCCTTACTCTCTGAGGGTAGTTTACTGCATGTCAGTTGGTTATGCCAATGCCCTCCAGCTGCAGTTATTTGGCAGATAACAAGTCTTAGCAGTGAAGGCTCCAATTGGCAGGAGTTGGAGGCCCTGGAGGGTGCCTGATAGTGACCAGCTGGGGGCACTCACTTTGTTATCAGAGGACTCTCATTGTTCTCTGTGGCATGTATTGGAGTGCCTGTCCAGTTACCCTTGAAATGACATGGCAGATATTGGAGGGCCATGCAAAAAACATAGGAGATTTTCTTGAGGCACATATTGGCATGCGTTGGAGGGTCAAGTAGGGTAAGGGTTAATACCCCTGCTTATTGGGACAATGAAACATTCCAAAGACAATCTCAGCTCCCTGGGACTCAGTATACAGCTGGATGCTGCCATTTGGACGCAAAGCGTCTTAAATCAATCACAATAACCATCTCTGCCCTCACATGTACATTGTACCAGTACCTATGAGTGATAAAGTGCCTTGCCCAAGGGCACACCCACGTTCCCCAGACTGGACTCCAACCCACAACCTACAGAATTACCTGCAGACCTTGAATTCAACGCTCCAGACCACAAGGCAATGGCTCACCACAAAGTCTCCCCCATCCTGAATGGATATCCTGGTAAAACCCTTGAACACACTGTCCAGACCTTCCACACTAATAACCTCAAAACCTTGCCTGAATTTGAGGTTGACTGCTACAGGCCGACATTGTATCCATTGTACACATGTGGTGGTTCTTTCATCCTGTGTTTATGACTGCCACAAAAGACAACTAGGGGTGTGCATTTATGGGTAGTACAGGGAACGGGTACCTGATTGGGAAAACAAACACGGGTACCGGTACCTGTAAAGAAACCCACTGCCAAACAAGCAACCATTCAAATATCGGAAGTTGCTTTTGAGATTATTTACAAAGGTCGGAACGATAATAATACTGCATCGGTACCATACCCTAGAGCTACATTGTAGCTCTATGCCAACCCGGGTACTCGGGTACCCGAGTTCCCCGGTTCCGATGCACAGCCCTAAAGACAACAGGCAGTCAACATCCCTGGTATGTGCTGGGGCCAACAGGTTACCATGTACAGTAAGGACACAGTACCGGTACGTACATGTCTATGCACTTTCCCTTTCTGAGGATATAAATTTCATCTAAAATCATTGGAACAGTTACATGTACATGTACAAGTACAATTGACAATCTGTTTCACTTTCATTCTTTGCCTATGTTATGTAAAAATGTAATGGTGTGTATCATATCTCTACAAAACTGTAGAGATTTATGGGTTTTCATGTCAATTATATGAAACTAAATGAAGGATATGGACTGACCCTTGCCACATGACACAATTATATACGTTTTGGATTTGGTTGGTTAAATCGTGTTTTATAATGTGTGTTTCAATGAGTGTTTCAATCAAACCAAAGGGCTAATTTATTTTTCAAGCGAATTGTGAAAGTAATGGTGCTGTCAACAGAAGTTTTGTCTTCTTGGGAAACTGGTCTTGACACTTTCTTTTCTCTCCATGAGTGGGCTCCTTCGTGTTCGTTCCCCTTCCTCGTTGAAGAGTTTTGTGCATGGAATATTTGAGATATTTTGGCTCAAAAGAATATCGCTGTTGCTCTTGTGCCTTCTGGAGGGAAGCCTATTTTACACCGAGTGTTTTTTTTTCTTCGAATAATGAATCTGCAAAATGTAAGTGGATAACTGACACAATGGTTTGTAAAACATGTTAAACAAACAACTGAACAAGCATTCAAGCCTAGCTTTTCGGCTACCAACATGTAACCTTGGACAACAAAACAAGAAAGTTCTTTTTGAAAGTAAAACCAAGCAAACAGTAAGGAATTGACTATACCTTCAAACTGGTAGTTCTCAGCCTCCTGTAGTAATGGCTCCTTGATGTCTTGAATCGTCATCTGGATGAGCTTTCGTATCTCCTCTTGTCTCTGATTGGCCAGTTCCTTTAGCGATTCAAACAGCTCCATCTCGCGCTGCCTCGCGTAGTCGATCCTCCGCGGCGTGATTTGGATGTCACGCTGCATGTCGAAGGCCGTGGTGATGAACATGTTCATGCATTGTAGATGTAGGTCATGCAGGATGGTGGTGGCTCGTGTCAGGTAGAGCTGAAGCACCTGTCGCACAAACATCAGTATACCCTGCATGTTGTAGAGTTTCTCCAAACGGCTCTGGTTCAGGTCCTCTTCCGTCGGGGACATCCCGCCTTTGAAGACCGACACCTCCGAGGGATCCTTCAGGAACCCCAGGCTGCGTAGCTGTCCGTGCACAATGTCGTGGAATCTGGACGGTTTCCGAGGCGCCGGGGACGAGGCTCCTCGATGACGGCTCTCCAGAGGATCTTCCACGGATCGAGCCATCAGGTCCTCATTATTGCTATCATATGCCGAGTCCTCCCCTAGATCCTCCTCCATTTGTGGATTCCTCAGGTTGCTCTCCGTGTGAGGACAGCAGTCCAAGAACAGCACCGGCAGATCCGGGGCCAAGTGTCTCAACTCCAGCAGTTCACTCTGCTCATCCTGGGACAGGTAATCCTTGTCGATACCGTAGAGAATGATGGGCAGCATGCGGGACGAGTACTGGCTGTACAGCCCGGCCGGGTTCAGCTCCGGGCAGTTGTGGGGTGCTACAATGATCTCCACCTTGGTGGCAAGCAAAGGGTGATTCAAGGTGACTTCGGTGGTGGCCTGAGCCGTGCAGGGGTCGCTAAGATCCTCCTGTTGGATCTCCACGTCCCGCTGCGGGAGCACCGTCCAATTGGTCCCGGGGTTATAATCCCCGTTCAGCAGCTCAAAGCTGTCCGTCAGCGTGGTCAGGGCGCTTCGGCGCTCGGCCCCGAAGCGGAAGCGCAGAGGCCGCCAGCTCTTGGCATTGTCTGAGTTGTTGGTGACCCGCAGAATCTGCTCATTGAGTATCCTGTTCAGGAGGACAGCTTTGGCGGTGTAGGTCTGGCCGTAGATCAGGAGGCATGGTGGATCGCTGACGATCGATTTCATGAAAGACTCATGTTCATCCTGTAGTAACAATGCGCTGATACGCTCTGCATAAAAGGAGAAAAAAAGTAAGGTTGAAACAAAGTGTCACACTCTAGATATAGCAGGTTCTGGGTTCACATCCTGAGTAAACCCAGAAGGTTTCTTGTGCAGGCTCTCAAAACCCACTGCCAATGAAGCACAACACTTGTCATCACAGATACTTCACAAATCCACCAGTTCATTCTAGTTTCAGTGGATTTCACCGAATCTGTATAAAACGCTAAAGCACAGTCATAATTTCTTTACACAAAGCTCGATTTCCCTGAAAAAGTTACAAAGAAACTGCAGAGGTGAATTCTGAAAAATTAACCCTCCCTTTAGGGCTTGCACATAAACATTAAAAAAAATTAAAATCTGGAGCAGTCAAAATCAACAGAGTGATTATTTTTACATTTCTGTTTTAGCCTCTGAAGAAGAACTTGCTAAGTTCGCAACGTCAGGCCACATTAATTTTTAGATTTAAATATTTCAGGTCCATCCAGTCAGTAAGCAGTTTGCAGCAGTCTTACTTTTTTTCTTTTTTTCATATTTTTATAAACAGTTGAGTGCTCCCTGATCCTACTAGAACAGGATTGACTGGCTGTGACTGTTTTTGTAACTTGATAAAGCTATGCTTTGACTGTAGGCGATTGATAAGCAAGCTGTTCCTACCAGGTACCTGCTTTCGCCTGTTGATGGAATTTGACAAGTCACAGTGCTTACTAAAAAATAAGACCTGACTGTTGGTGACTAATAAAGGCATGGCAGGGAAACAGGATTGATTTTTTGCTGTGTGTGACTGTTCAAACAGCAGGAGGGATAAGCCTCCTCTATACCTGTACATGTACATGTACAGTAAGGTGTACATTGTACTGGTACATGTACATGTACATGTACATGTACGGTATGGACTCCAGTTCTGCCGGCCTTGAATGGTACACGCCTCAATTGAGCTAGTGTACGGAGACAGTGGACAAGTGTGAGAGAGAACTTTTCATTATCTTCAGTGTACAATAGAGCTGAATTTCTGTGCCTGGATGATTTTTGTCCTTAAAAACAATTTTTGGCCTATGTCAACAAATTTATTATTAATCTAACAGAGTAACAGCTAACCTAACAACCTTGGCATTCCTGGTGGGAACCTTAAAGGCTTTCGATACCACAGTGCATATTGGACACCTTGTGAAGTCCTTATTCTTCAATCAATATTAAATGTTTTGTTTAATAAAAAATAACCTACCAGTACATATGCTAAAAACAAGGGATTTAAACATCCAGCTTGGTATTCCCATGCTGTGCTATCCAACATTATTAAAAGGAATTACCGGTATGACCAGGAGATACACCCAATGGACCGATCCAGTAAGCACCGCCCCATGGTATTCTGACCAATCACAGCCGTGATTTATGTCTGACATGCATGCACAAAAGCCCGACATGCGTGCACGCGCGTATAATGCGCGCGGCAGGAAAATGCAGTGTGGCATTGGAGAGGAGCACGTGTTAATTTGCCCACGTGCGCAGTGGGAGGGGCTTACTGGATCGGTCCATTGGGCTACAAAGGCATTTCAAAAGAAATGAAATTAAATTGGAAAGAGCATCTTACACTTACATTGATCTCTAGTGTGTACGTCTCTAGTATTACGTAACTGTAATCTTTGAAATAACTGAAGCCAGCGCATTTCTGGAACTGACCTATCGCGGTGGAATTGCGTTAGGATCGCATCAACACAGCTTGTGAAACATTGTCCAATTACATTATATACAAATAGACACGGAACGCACAAAATCTTAGACAAACAAAACTTAGTGCACAAAAATTCCATATGGTTGTCTTAGGGGCGCGGCTAACTCGATCGCAAATGGCGATAGGTCAATACCAGTCTGAAATGATGTTTTTTAGTTATTTCAAACTCTTTAACATGTATATCCAAGTCAGGAGATGAAACGTATTTGGCACTGCTGTACAACCCACATTTCTTAACTGTAAATTGCCACCGGTACATGAATGTTAATTGCTTGATATGAATGGATGACTACTGTCAAGGGTACCGTTCTTTTATACCTGGTGCTACTATTCGGAATAGCAGCTTAAAAAAACGATGAACTTATGGCTCATTTCCAAATTGGAGTGAAAGGTGCTTGATCCGTCATTCTATCTGTCACAGTATCTTTGTAAATAGGCCGGTTCATGTTCCATGCAAAAGTGCACACAATGTTCTGTGACATCACAGCAAGTTTTTCACAGCCAATTCGCAAAAGTTGAACACATTTCAACATTGGGGAATGTTGGGGTGGAAATTTAGTTTCCAGATGCCAAATTAGATTCGCATGAATTCGCATTCGCAGGGAGTATGAACCTGCAACCTCGTTCCCATGGGTACGAGATCTTGCTGCGCCATGTTGTTTCCCATCATGCCTTGCGCAATCTCAACCCCTGGAATTGTGTAATTTAAATGCGTCAAAATATGGCACATTATAATTAGGCTGCAGTTTATCCGTTTTACGCCCCGACGCCAACTTTAAAATGTTAAAAGTTGTGTTTTTGAAGAATCAATGCTTTCAAATATTAGGTTTGGACCTTGCTTTATTTAGCAAAGATTTGTATTAAAGGTACGTACCCCTGTCACTTTACAACTGCAGATACAGGGTTTTTTTTAGCGAAAAACGAGGCTGCCATAATCCACATCGTACATGCATCGCGCAGTTTTGAATATTCGTACGTGACGTGACGTGCAAAGCACGCGAGCACATTATGGGCGCGCCCGGCGTGCAATCTTCGAAATGCGCGCGCAGTACCCTCTGAAAAGCCAGTCAGCATCGTTTACGTGTACATCACGGCCAGGGGTTAGTGAAGGAATGCGCACGCGCCCATGGAGTCGAGGCTGATGAACCTGTACTCATTGTTGAGATAATCATGGGCATCGATTGGTTGGGGGGGGGCGGAACAGGGGGGGGAGGGGTGCACCCGGGCGGGTAGAACATCACGTTAACAAACGCAGCATGGACATATCCCCCACCACTTTATAAACTGGGGGGGGGGGGACCATCATATCATTTGTCCCCCCCATAAATTATATTTCATCCTCGGATAAAATTGTAGCTAGCCTACATTTGATTTATCAACTCTTAACTCGAACATGAAGTTTAAATGATGATCTTTTGCTTAAAAAAATTAGTTAAAGTGGTCTCAAATTGCCTCAGATCGCTTCGCGTTCACAGTATTTCTGATCAAGGTGCATGTATGCCCCCCCCCCCATTTTTTAGTTCTAGCGATTGGCGCCCCTGTGCACAATTAATGCTGTACAGTATATTTTTTGTGACTGGGCAAAACTGTTGGAAAGGTGAATGCAGACATGGAGCTTCCTACATGAACATTGCCTTGTCTAATGGTACAATAGTTCCCAGATCTATTCACCTAAAACTCAACGGTTCTTGAGTCTGGAATGTTGTATGGTACCGGGACTGTAATTTATCGCAATTGATGAAAACTAAACGCTGTTTTCATCGGCTACTTCCCCCGCACCTAAAGTGGTGCCCTCAACTTGTCATAAGTTGCTAAACAGTAAACAGAACCAAAAGAGTCAACAAAAAGCCAAAAAAGAGAAAATGTCATTCTCGCTAGCTTCTGGCATTTTAAATTCCACCACCTAATTTTCACTGTCCCTGGATAGAAGGCTGAGACAGCTGGCAAAAGATCAGAATGTTCAGGAATCAATTGACCGCCAGACTGTTTGTTCAGTTTTGAAGTCAAAAGGTTGAAGCCCCAAGCACTATCCTTATGAAAAATGTGCAAACAAAATGTGCAGAATAATACATCGGCCCAACAGATGTTCCGCATGGCGCCTTAAATCATCAAACTAAGGCCAAAAAAAAAAGTCTCCGGTTTCTGGTATGCGCGCACGTCGCCGTAGCCATGCGCGTTGGCAAAATGAAAAAGTTTTTTTTTTTCAATGAAAGATGATGTCTCAAAACCGCCAAACTCACTGGTTTGACTGGAATCCTGCTGCTGCACAATTTTAACGTGTTTTTAGATGGGGTTATGATCGAGAATAAGCTTTATGTGGCCTCTCTGGTCTCCCATAATACATGTATTTGCACTAAGTTTAGCATTTAGTCGGGCACCATTTGCAGTCATCAGCCGACATTTGAAGCAAAAAAAACAGGTAAAAAAAAAAAAGCCGTGTCGCCGCACCACTTTTTGGGCAAGTTCCATACCAGAAACCGGAGACTTTTTTTTTTTGGCCTAAACAGTTTTAGCAGGTTTAATGTTCACAACTACATGCAAAAGAAGAATTGACTTTTGTGTTGATTACTTAACTGAAAGTACACAGAGCTTTGTAAGGTTCAAACACACTGTCCTTGATGTCATGCTAATTTGGGGGCATGTATGCATCATTGCATGTACAGGGTGAGTACAAAAAAAGCGGAACCCAAACCCCATATAGTATATTTCATACATGTATATAAAAAAATATGTAGCACCAAAATAATGATGACTGGAAAGCCAATTTCATAAGCTACTTTTAGATGAAAAAATTACTGAAATTGGTCAATCCGTTCAAAGAATATCACCATTTATACACAATGACCCTAAAACCTGTCTCGTCCAAAAAAATGCGATTTCAACAATCGTCGTCACAATTGTCTTCAAGCATCACCAGCGATGAAATCTTAGTTTAAACGTTAACAATATGCAACAAAGTCCTTTTGAAGGCCCGTCTTTTCAAAAAGTAGATTTTATAAATCATATTGTTTGCCTAACCAGGGTTGTCAATCAAAATATTGTGTACTACAGTTGGTGACAGTTGTTGAAACAAGTATTCTATGTCATTTTCTTTGTTGTCAAAACACACAATAAATTGCTTTTGAAATTGGCTTTCCAGTCATTGTTTTTTTTGGTGCTACATATTTTTTTAAATATGAAATATATTTTTGGTTCCGCTTTTTTTGACTCACCCTGTATGTTAACGTACCTGTGTGTAATGTTCCCAACTTTTGCCTCTTAAAAAAGTTGGAAAGCCAG